ATAACAAGGTCGGGAGGTTGTCGACTGCTTTTATCCTACCCGCTAATGAATGGATGATTTGCGAAATCCATTGAAATGATTTTTGTCATATAGCTTATTCAAATTAGAATGCAAGCCATCATGCTGTATTCTTCTTCTATTGAGATGTAGATAAATTTTGGCTTCAAAGCACTTTTTCAAAGCTTCCTCTTCCTTCTCTTTCTAATGAGCTCACATTTTTGTATAGCGACCCACACGTGAGTTTTCGAAATGAAGAGTTGAGGGAATTCTGAATTGGACGGTAAAACGATCAGGTGAAGTGAGATAAAAGTTAAGTACTTATCTACCAACTTTCCTTATATTTCTGATATTTGATATCAAAATTTGCTCTTCATATGATCGCAAATCACTATTCCAGGCAAACGCCATTAGTGAATGGTTGTTGATTTGTGTCCTAAATATTAAATAAGGTACAAGGCACTCAGTGCAGGAAAACGGCAATTGTCACGCGTTTTTTAGCGCCTTGTCATGAAAAAGTATAATTGCATGTTGCAACAAAATATTGTCTCATTGAGTGCAAATATTGCGAAATTCGGGCAACGTGCAGTTTGCAATTCGTGACTGGTTTTTGGAATGTCAAGTTAACCGAAACTGAAATGTTAATTAGGTAGGCGGTAAATATAAGTACGTAATATTACTAAATAAGGATGTATCAAATTGTTGTGACGAGACACAATTTTCAGCAATATGCTTATAATGTGTAATTAACGAGGAAAAAACTAATCCTCGATTTTTCCCACCTTTTAAGAAATTCTTATTATAATGACTCTAAAATTACCAATAATTTTTTTCCCATTATATTTACAATACTAATTTTAATATTAGTAATGCTGATTGTAATCTATAGGTACTAATGTAATTAATTTTTAATTTCTGCTCTTTTTGATACGTAATTAATAATAGCTTAATTATTCTAGGTACCATGACGTCAAATATTTGATTCAATTTGTGATTTAGCACATTTTGTTGGATTTTGTTACATTTACCTACAGTAGACTCGCGTTAATGAAACACTAAAATTGACCTTGTAGGTACAAATTAAAAATTGCTTAACGACTGAATAGGTAATAATTAGGCAAACATAATGATAAATTGATAAAATAACGCATTTTTTTTCTGGATGTGAGTACATAACCAAATATTTTGCTTCAAATCTTGACAGCATGGAGTTTCGGCGGTCAAAATCTTTATATGGAAAAATTTCAACATTTTTGAAGGAAGGAGGAAATGTAAGTTAAATTTTAGTTTGGGTTCATAAATCGAAAGCTGAAATTTTTATCGATTCTTATCCTAGTAGAGGACTACAAACTCTGCAAAACTTCAACGTATTTGAACTTCATGAGAAAAAAATGCGTTAATAATGAATTTGTGGTAAATTCTTCAATTTTTTAATTTCCTGAGGTTTTTTTAAAGATTTCGGCTTCAAATCCCACAATAAATCACTGTATGGAGTTTCTAGGGTCCCAATTGATCGTCCAGAGTCGAAATCTCAACAACAAAAAAATGAAATTTGACCATTTTTGAAAACTTTGAAAAATCATAACTTTTTTTCTATCATAGGTGAAATTTTCAGCGATTCTTATGCTAGTAGATCAATACGAACCCTGCCCAGCGCATTTGGACTTATATTTCCTGAGATAAAATCGCGTTAAGGAATTTGGGGTGAATTCTTCAATTTTTCAATTTCCTGACGTCCTTTTTTTAAAGATTTCGGCTCCAAATGTCAGAATAATTTAGTGTATGGAGTTTGAGGCGTTCCAAAGGATCAATCAAACAACATCTCAACATAAAAAAATTTTAAATTTCATCATTTTAGTAGGTACTAAGGTAGCTACATTAAATTTGACTTGGATTTTTGAAAACTTTGAGAAATCATAACTTTTTTTCTATTACAGTTATTACAGATAGAAAGCTGAAATTTTCACCGATTCTTATTCTCGTGGAGAACTACAATCCCTGAGTTAAAGACGCGACAGTGCAACACAAAGATACAGTATAGAGGGAGCTTCAACTGAAAATGAAAATGAACGAGAACCAAAAATTGTGGAAAATGATATCGTGGGCCAGCGAGCTACCGAATATGAGCCTAGATCTTCAACAAGCTCAGACCAACATATGAAATTATTATGGATAAAAAACAGCCAGACCAAGAAGCTAAAAGCTAACTTACAAGCAAAATCTTTTGAAAAAAATGTTGTTACAGTTAGTTCGGAATAATAATCAATCTGCTAAGGAACCACAAAAGAGACATAGAATGTGTACTGGAGCTGAAATTATTACAACCAATAATACACATACATATTTGTAAATTCTAACAGTTAATAAATAAGTTAAAAAACCTATAAACAAATGATAAGTCACAAAGAGAAGAAACAATACAAGAACAAAACTGTTGTAAAATGTTAAAATCAAAAATAACTAAATAACTAGGGTCTAGGGGGTCAGATATTGACAGAAACATTCAGAAATAAGATTAAACATGAACAAACAGTACAATAGTACTCTGATAGGAAAATAAAATAAACACCCAGGACAGAGTGCGATGCCCACGATAATTCTAGGTTGCAAAAGCTGGTTAAATTTATTAGGTTAAAAATACCAAGTCCAGAAATTCATTAACAGTATATAGAATGCTTGGGTAAGGTAGTAGGATAATTTTTAACTGTTTTCGAAATAAAGTGATATCTGATATATCTTTCAAAGTTGCTGGAAGATGATTATAAAGTTTTACACTATTGTAAATGATAGAGTTCTGTACAAGAGAGGAATGTGGAATAGGAAGCGACAGATGAAGACTTTGTCTCGTCAGATGGGTAGTTTGGCGTGCCGGAAAACAAGTGATATTCTTATGAATGAGGCTGACTGACTCGAGAATAAAAAGACATGGAAGAGTGAGGATCCAATACTTAACAAATAGTGGCCTACAGTGTTCCCGCGGTGATACGCGAGCAATAAATCGGATTGCCCGTTTTTGTAGTTTAAACACAACACTGATTGAAAAAGATACTGGCTGCAACATCCCCAAAATGGCAAGCCATAAGTTAGGTGCGATTGTATCACAGCGAAATATACTGATTTTACTATGGTGAACCTCAAGGTAGATGAGACTGATCGTATGCAGTAGCAGCCTGAAGATAGTTTTTTGTTGAGAGCTATTATATGTGATTGGAATTTAAGATCAACATCCAAGTTAAGTCCAAGAAACTTTGTATTTTTCTAACTTTTAACGGAAAATTTGTCACATACAATGTGTTTGATGTTACGTCGGAATGCTAGTTTTGGGTTTTGTTGAAGTTGAAAAGTAGTCCATTTGCATCGCACCACATTTTGACGCTGTTCAGATCGTGGGATATTTATTCTGATCAGCTCGTTAGGGTCGCAGTTGTGCCAAAGCACAGTCGCATCGTCCGCGAACGCTGCAAATTCTCCCGATATATTGATGAACAGGAGATCATTGATATATAGAAGAAATAGGATAGGTCCAAGAACTGAGCCTTGCGGGACTCCAAAAGTGATGTTCTGTTCAGAGGATAGTTTGCCATCCGCTTTGACACGCTGGCTGCAATTGAAAAGTTACGACCGAAACCATTCCAGAACTATGCCTCGGAAACCATAGGCTTCTAGCTTCCCCAGTAGTGTTCTGTGACTCACGCAATCAAAAGCCTTTGAAAAGTCCCAGAACACTCCCACAGTAGCATATCTATTGTTACAGTTCCAGAAAAGCGCTTCGATCACACGGAACATCGCATCATGCGTGCCCTTTTTTGGGAGAAATCCAAACTGGGCGGAATTGAAAACATTATGCAATGTCAGAAAACTCAACATTCGCTTTTTAAGTAGTTTTTCTACTACTTTAGAGATTGGAGACAAATGTGAGATAAGGCGGTAGCTAGATGGATTTTTTGTGTCACCACTTTTGTGGATTGGAACGATTAGGGCTTCTTTAAGACTAATGGGAAACGAGTTATCAGAAAATGATTTATTTATCGCCTGTGCTAATACATTAAAGGCTTGGTCAGGTAGTTCCTGAAGTATTTTTGTTGAAATGCTGTCTGAGCCAGCAGCAGTTTAATTTTTGATCGTTTTAAGAATCGTCTTTATTTCTTGTAAGTGGTGATAGCGTGTAGAATTCGTATCTATCATTAATCAGTTTAATATCGAGCAAGAATGGATATATTATAATGTTCGAAGAGAACATTTTGATAGTTGAGTAGTTGATAGGGGGTCGTCGTCGAGTCGAAGCAAGTCGCACGCATTCAATCTCTCCTTTATTTGTGTTAATTTTAATAGAAAAAGTGAAATAAATTGTTTGAGTTTCATGTCATTGTGTCTGGAAAAATGTGAGTTTTTACTCTTATTTAATAATCAACACAAGAACCCAATTTTAATTTGGAAAAACAACCAAAATCATTGTGTTCAGGACTATAAATATTGCTCGTATAGCAGCAAAAAAATTACAAATTTGCCTGCTTCTTATCTTCTTTTCAAGTCGGATTCTTTATCACTGAGAATGGAATTTTGAACCTTTTTTTTTTGCCAACATTCTCTGAACACTGTAGGGGAATATAGTGCAAGGAGAAGAGAGAAACTCAAGTTGTTAGCAATTATGGAATACAATTGTAGTAAATGTAACTTGCTGTGTCTACACAAGCGTAGACCACGAGAAAATAAACATTTTGGTATGTGTTGCGACCTGTGCAAGAGGCCATTCTGCCAAACCTGTGAAAATATTAGTGTCACTGAATCGGACGCCTTGGTACTAAATCAGAGGACAGTTCTTTTTTACTGCTCTCAATGCATAAATATCCAACAGAATATTAAAAGCGAATTTGAATGTCTACATAAAGCTTTCGTAAAATCCAAAGAAGACCTGGATTCAAACAACAAATACAGCGAAGAACTTCTTAATAAAAATGAAGAACTTCAATTGGAGATGGACAAATTACAAAATACTTTGATAGAGAAAAACCGTTTTACGCTCGCCTTCAGAAGGGTTCAAAGTGTTTTGAGGATATGGCACTGGACCAAGAAAGGCAGTTTGAAGTAAAATTGGAATACCAGTTAAAAATTATCTCCAGTTTGAACGTGGAAATAAAAACATTGAAACAAGACAATCAAGTTAAACAAGATCAGATAGAAGAACATCTACAACTAACCGAGCAGACAAAAAAACAGCTACTCATCGTTGAAGAACTGCATAGGAAAGTTAAATTGTGGGCAAACACATTAGAAGCTGAATGTCAAGCGATGGGCAAAGAATTGAGGGCAGAAAGAATTGAAGGTCAAAACTTGAAAATGACTCTACAAGAACAAAAGTCTATTATAGAAGAGCTTGAAAATAAGCAAAGGCAGCTCAGTAAGGAGATCCAAAATTCAGACCATTCCTCAAAAAATAATTTACAGGAAGAAATAAAATATTTGCAAGATTCAGGTTTTGTTGCACCCATAGATATTAGCTCGGAGCAGCAACGCGAGTCAAACGCAGAACATTCCAAGATGACGTCGACAAGTGAACCGAGAATTTTAATATTGAGCGATCAAAATGGACGACATTTATTTAATTATCTTGCTCGTCAACCATCTTTGCATAGGTTTAAGGTAGAAATGATAATAAAGCCAGGGGCCTTTTTCCATAGTATTGTAGAAGATTTGGAAAATCTGACAAAGAATTTAAATAGCAATGACTATGTTATAATAGTTGGGGAGCTGGCGTCAAAAACATGCAAGAGTTTTCGCAAGGCGGATATTTTCAAAATAGGTCGTACTTTAGTGCTAGAATGCTAGTGTACAGTCAGCACTCACAGTTCCGGGACAGCTGGCTCTGGGACGCGGGCAAAGTTGTAATTTTAAGAAGCATCTAAACTGTTTTCTCAAAGCTCAAAATTTATAGAAATTTTGCACATTATCTGTTTGAAGGTCACAGATAACGTATGTAAATCGTCAGACGTCTAGTTCGTTGCAAAAAGGGGGTCAGACGTCCTCAAAGTTTTTATTTTATGGCATTTTCTTCGGTGTCCTGTCAAAATATATTTTTGCAGGTATTTGACAAATATATTTGAAGAAAATGCCATAAAATAAAAACTTTGAGGACGTCTGACCCCCTTTTTGCAACGAACTAGACGTCTGACGATTTACATACGTTATCTGTGACCTTCAAACAGATAATGTGCAAAATTTCTATAAATTTTGAGCTTTGAGGAAACAGTTTAGATGCTTCTTAAAATAACAACTTTGCCCGCGTCCCAGAGCCAGCTGTCCCGGAACTGTGAGTGCTGACTGTACACTAGCATTCTAGCACTAAAGTACGACCTATTTTGAAAATATCCGCCTTGCGAAAACTCTTGCATGTTTTTGGCGCCACCTCCTGGACTATAATAACTGGTGGTCATAATGATCTCCTAAATGACAAATTTCCTCAAACAAAGTTCATTTGGAATAAACTTAAGCCATGTCTACACACTAATTTTATATTTTTGTCTTGTCCAGTATCGTCAAAATATAAAAACATAAATAAGATTACAGCATTCAATAACAGGTTTCATTCTTTTATAAGTAAGGTTGATAGGATTTCTGAGTAATCTTTGGAACACATAGATATCAACAACAAAAAAGGACTGTGTGTTAGAAACTGGCAAATTGGTAAGCTTGTGGGAGAGTCAATAATAAATTTATCGGCAAACCCACACCGCTACAACAACTTAAAGCCACTAATATTTGTGAAAACCTGTGACCAACCTCAACCTCTACTTTCACCATCAATACATAGTAACTTAGAATCTCACGAGTCAATTCTGAATTGTAATAGTAACAGCGACTGTGCTAGTGTTGGCGATAAAGAAGGTTTAATTTTGGTAAAGAAAGTTTTATCAAATGGCACTTCCGTAAACGTCTTAGAGCCACGAACATGTTTCAATAACTCCAAAAGTGAAATGCATTTTATTCAGCAAGAACAGATAGATTTTTTAGCTCAAGTAACACCCCCAAAAACTCTAACATAGCTCAAGATTGCAATCGAAAAAAACAGGTGTCTGTATTTTTATTGAATATTCAATCGCTACGAAACAAAATTGATGATCTGTACCTATTTCTTGAAAATGAAAACTTCCCGGACATACTGCTGCTGACTGAACATTGGTTGGCGACAAATGAAATATTTTCTATCAATGGTTATACACTGGTGTCTAAATATTGTAGAATTACCAAGAGTAGTGGAGGTACTGCTATTCTTATAAGGGATGAGTTTTTGGAGACTTTCGAAGTTATTGCTGTTTCACACTGTGACATCCTTATAGTAGAAGGTGGTTTTGAGTTTTCATTGTTGTACAATGAGAGAAACAACTTGTATATTTTGTGCATTTACAGACCACCATATTCTTCAAATTTAAAACAATATTTTGAAAATCTAGAAACTCTTTTAATGAATCTACCATGTAAGGCAAACCTTTTGTTGGGTGGTGATCTGAATATAAATTATGACGATGAAACATCAGAGGCTACACAGGTATTATCCAATTTGTTTTTATCATTTAACCTGCGAATGTATGTGCAGCGACCGACCCGAATTACTGCACATGGTGAAAGCAAGATTGACTATATGTGTTCCAATTTTGGCTTGGGAAATATTTTCGTGAGTTGCGAGGTAATGCCTGTTGGTTTTTCGGATCATGAGGCAGTTTTGGCTTACTTTAGATTTAATTTTAATAAGGGGCGAAAGCATAGGTTAGGTAGGTTGTTTAGTCGGAAGAACTACTATAAGTTTAAGTCTGCCGCTGAGGGTTTGAGCTGGTTTGAAGTGTTAAACACAGAATCTCCCCTTGCGTCTTTTCAAAACAAAATAAGTGGTACTTTTCTTAAATGTTTTCCACTACAGAAAATCAACAGAAAGAGTTGGGTGACAAAGGGTATCAAAATATCCTCGAAAAATTTCAGATTTCTCAAGTAATAAAAAAGCACACAAACAATCCCCGTTTTCTCTGTTACTTTGCCAAATACAGGTTAACATATAAAAAAACTTATCAAAGCTGCAAAAGACAAGTTTTACCGCGACCAAATTAAAAATTCAAATAACTCAACCAAGGAAAATTGGAAACTTGTGAACCAGTTAACGGGTAGGGACCCTTATCCCTGGTCAAGGGTGAATGTGGATGCTAATATTCTGAATAACTTTTACTGTACAGTTGCCAATAACCTGCAATCGGGTCTGAAAAGTGACATAAATCCTCTTTCGTATTTGTCTGATGTAAAAATAGATGGTACATTTGAGCTACAACCTACAAATATCGGTGAACTGAGAAATATTTTTAGGGACATAAAAAATCCGAAATCAAGCGGCTGTGACAACATTTCAGTTAGACTACTTCGGAATCTCCCTGAGACTGCTCTCTATGTGTTGGCTGAGTGTATAAATATCTCCTTTCAATTGGGCAATTTTCCTGACGTTCTTAAAACAGCAGTTGTTGTTCCAATACATAAGGGAGGTGAAACTGACAAGCCCGAAAATTACCGCCCGATATCATTGCTTTCAACACTTTCAAAGGTAATAGAGAAATTGGTCAAGGGAAGAATGTTGGAGTACCTGAATAAACTTAATATTTTAAGTGATTCTCAGTTTGGTTTTCAACCATCCAAAAACACTCACGACGCAATTTTTAATCTTTTAGATCATGTTTTCACAGCTTTGAATGAGGATGAAGTGGTCGCCACAGTCTTCTGTGACTTCTCTAAGGCCTTTGACTGTGTAAACCATGAAATTATGTTAAAAAAATTGCATGTTTACGGCTTTGGAGGAGTCTCCTTGATGTGGTTCAAATCGTATTTCTCAAAAAGAGAACAGTATGTAAAAATCGGTTCTACACAATCTCTAACTTTAAATATATCGAATGGCGTTCCCCAAGGGTCCGTTCTCGGACCGATTTTATTTTTGCTGTATCTGAATGATATATTCAGACTACCAATTCAAGGTCGCTTCACAGCTTTTGCAGATGATAACACTCTTTCTTGGAGAGGGAAAAATTTTGAAACTTTAAAGGACACAGTCTCAAGGGACTTAAAAGCAATTAAGGAATGGTGTGACGCAAATTTACTGTGCTTTAATACAAAAAAAACCAACCTCATGACATTCAAATTTATTTACAATGACCTCTACCTAGATGCTCAATTAATTGAAAACAGGTCCAACTGCAAGTTCCTTGGGATTCATGTTGACAGCCAGCTCAAATTTTCCACGCATGTCAACAACCTTAACAATAGACTGGCTAGCGGATGCTATGCCATACGAACTGTATACAACGAGCTTGGCCATAATTCTGCCAAAATGGTATATTTCTCTTTAGTAGAATCTCACATCCGGTATGGCATAGCCTTCTGGGGATGTTGCTCGCAGACACTTTTTGATTCGGTGTTTATTGTAAATAAAGGGCAATAAGATTTCTGTGTGGAAGAGGATATCGAGATCATTGTAGACCACTTTTCTTGAGACATGAAATTTTGACAGTTTACTGTATTTTTATCCTAGAGACAGCAATTTTAATGCATAAAAAATTTTATGACCAAATAGATCTTTCAAGAACCTACGAAACTAGACAGAAACTAAAAATTTCGTTGCCGATCCCGAGGTCTTCTTTGACACAGAACTCAGTAATTTATAAAAGTAAAAAAATATTTAATCATTTACCTGTTCACCTAAGAGAAATTAAAGAACTAAGAAGGTTTAAAACCGCTTTGAAAAGTTTTTTGTGTAAAAAAGCATATTATAGTTTGCAAGAATTTTTTGATGATAATAGTTTAGGATAACATAGTTTGTATTTTTTGTATAAAAATTTTACTATAAATAAATATATATTAGGAGATGCTGTTGACCAAAAATTTTATTTTGTGTTTTGTTTTTTTTAGCTACTGTATTGGATATTTTTAATTTTATGTATTTATTTTGACTGTTGTAATTACGTTATTTAGTCACTTGTTTAAATGTTTTACTCTAGTATTTAGGAACTAAAGCTTTGTCAATGGAAAATTATTTTTGTTTTTCGGACAATAAAGTATATTTTGATTGATTGATTGATTTTTTTCCAGTATAACTATTACAATGTGTGAAAAGGGTCCCAGTGACCCCGTAATAATATACAGATAAAGCTGAAAATAACATAGCGGTCTCAGTTACTACACACATATAGGATAGGTCCTCGTCCACAGTGTTTGCACTGTTTGCAGGTCCCAAAAAAAAAAAGGAAATTTCATCATTTTTAGTATTAAGTCTTTTGACTAGGATTCATGAAAACTTGAGAAATCAATTGGACTCTATTTTCAAACAAAACAGGCATAAAATCTTACATTGATTATTATTGATTGTCACTATAGAATCGGTCCCAATATGATTATTGTAAGTCAAAATCTCAGGTCAAATTTTAAAAAACATAATTTATTTGAAACTCTATATGGATATTAATTTGAAATTTTCTTTTCTGAATGAAAGTACCTACCTACTTAGTTGTAGCAACGGTTGTAGTAAGTAGTGAGTGAAGTACTACAATCCCTGCAAATTTATTTTAGCTCATTATTTGGAGGACCCATTTGTGCTATCTGGGAATCTATCTTATCGCTAATCTATACATATCTATGTATAGATAGGTATAACCATAACCTACTTACTATTCTTATATAAAGAACATGCAGGCTTGGTCAACAATATTAATCAATATGCCGTGAAACCGAAACGCATTTAAAAACTATAAAATTATGGGTATCAATATCAATATGGGACTTAACAGTATGATAGATGAATGGTACCTACCTATGTTTTGTGGGCATTTCTAGATAACATATAGTAATAATATATATTATTTAAGAAACTAGAAGATGGTAATTAAATAAATAAATGGTTTAACTTTGTGTGAAAGGGAGAAGTTTTAATTAAACAATTTGTCCTCATATTTTTAAAGTTGACTTTATTATAAAATAACACTAAATTCAAAACTGATACAAGTACCGATTATACTCAATTATTTAAATAGTTCTGCAAAAAAAATAAAAATAAAAAAAAACTAACTACCCCTGGTGGGACTCGAACCCACAATCCCCTGCTTAGGAGGCAGATGCCTTATCCATTAGGCCACAGGGGCTTGTTCTATTTAACTATAAATTTAAAATATAAGCAGCCTACCAAAACAAAAATTAATTGATAACGAATATTATTTATGAATAAGAAACACTTATTTGAATATTTAGCAATCAGAAACTGATCTCTTAATATATTTCAATTATATCTAAATAAATTAAAGTGCATTACTCTTAATATTATTACCTTTAGAAAAACGCACCGCATTCTTTTACCCGTTGATCTTATTTATCTTGGGGTAGAAAACGTGTATAATTATTATTACAAAAATAATTATAACAATATGCACTTACACAAATTTTTGTCAGCCTTCAACAACGTTGCCAAAATACCCACTAGAAGAAGATTTCTTTATCAATGAATTGTCATTTGACATTTGTCATTTGCACACATCGCACACATTCAAAATTCATTGTTCAAAACATTCCAACCAAATAAACAAATTCAAGTTTGTTTACTTCATTTATATTTTAGAAAAGAATAAATAAAATTACAATTAATTATTATTTTATTTATTATTCAAACTTGAAAATCTGGTGGGTGAGGCTACGAGGCTAGTGAGTGAGATCCAGGATCAGTGGGTCCAGGTGGGAAGATAAGTGAATTAAAGAAAATAAATAATGGCTGGTTTGACTGCAAAAGGTAAGAGAATTAAATACCACATCCAGATTATATTTTAACCTAAAATAGGCTGGAATTATCCTGTTTCAGGCGCTCCAGAGTCTGACGAACAGCAAAGGATACGATTTCAAGTGGAACTGGAATTTGTGCAATGCTTAGGAAACCCTAATTATCTAAATTGTATGTATTATATTTATCCATTAGCTGCTGGAATGTAGACATAACTTGCTGCTGCAAACATTCAAGAGTGTATAAACAACAATGTAAAATAATAACATTCAAGTTTGTTCCTTCTTTTAGTTCTAGCCCAACGAGGTTACTTCAAAGACTCCAACTTTATAAACTACCTGAAGTACCTCCTCTACTGGAAAGAACCCGATTACGCCAAATACCTAAAATACCCAATGTGTCTCTATTTCTTAGACCTATTACAGTACGAGCATTTCCGCAGAGAATTAGTCAACGGCCAATGCACCAAATTTATAGACGACCAGCAAATTCTATTGTGGCAACACTATACTAGGAGGCGCAGCCGTCTCATGACTACTGCAGCAGCAAATGGCGCTAATACTGAACAGAATGCCATTATGCAGCAGAATAATGCTCAGCAAAATGGGCATCTGAGTATTAATGCTAAAATGACTTAAGACACATAAAATTGAGAATGATGGATTGAGGAATTATAAATAAAGGCAGAATCTTCCCCCTTATCATCAACAAATGTGAATATAATAAGGGAATAAATTTAGTCTAAGGAATATTTATTGTTGTATTTTACCTATCAGCTCAACAAACCACCACAGGGCAAATTCTAAGCATCTACATCTACACCAACAATAACCTAAAGTTGAACTAGAAATTACTGTAGGATTATTTCTATGGTATGGTTGTATTCGAAACCTTTACAAACTATTTTAAGTAAAATTTATACTCAAAGAAAAAATAAATAAGAATTCAATTAAGCCTTATTATTAATTTTTTATTCAAACTAAATAATGAAAATGCAAATAAAACTCTGCTATGCAATAAATATCTACTTAAATATTTGTACAAAAAATTTTAAATCTAAAAATATAAGCAGATTTTTGCCCATGTTTTCTAATAATCATAATCGTCGTTATCATCATCATCATCATCTCTAGAAAATATACCATCATCCCCATAGTCATCATAGTCGTCTACACCAGGAGGTACAAAAGCTCCATTGAGGGCTTCAGAAATTGGTTCTCCTAGGCCAACTCTTGTGGCTATACCATAAATTAATCTCATAACGGCAAGTCTAAAAAAATTGTAGAAATTTCAGGTAAAATTCAAAGATTTAAATTATTTTTCTCACCTTATAAAATTTATTGGATTGGTTTCCTTCTGCCTCAAAACCATTCCTTTGGCACTTTTTTTCAATTTCTTTTTCTTGGCATCACAATTCAATAATAAAACAACAACAATAAAAACTAAAACTAATTTTCTTTTTAAAAGCGACATATCTCCCAAATACCTTCCTAGTCAATAAATAATTATTACTAATCCATTTTTTTTTCTTGCACTTTCAATCAAGTGTAGTTCACGAACTCTCGTAAAATAAAAATATCCATCACAAACCCATTCTTAATAGTCTTTATATGACCCAGCAAAATATAATATATTTAGATTGTGTTTGACTGATTCCAAAACTAGGAACTAAAATATGCAGAGAAGAATCTTCGTGACGCGAATGATAATTTCACAGGTAGAGTACCGTTACCATCAGTAAAAGTAAAAGAATGTAGGTCAAAAGTTATTTCCGATTTGAGTTCCTTTTTAATTAAGTAGGTAATGGACCTGAGGAAATTTCTTGATTACCTATCTGAAAAGAATGAAACACACTTGGCTTTAAAATCATAATATTTATTGTGCTTTAAATCTAAGACTTATAAGCTAAAAGGACAATATTGTATAAATAATACTCAAAATAAAATTCTTATATACTACACAATGGATTAAAATATTGACTGCAGATGGAGAAGCTGGTAAAAAAATTAAAATGAACATAAAATTATTGATCAGGGGAAAGTAATTCACAATTTATGTGGCACCATCGCACAACACTATCAAACAATCCCATTATAAAACTCGTCCAAATCGTAATATATGGTTTGGTAAGCATAACTTCTTTTTAAATCTTGAAGCAGACTGAATATTTTTAATTGAATCAGGCAAATAATTAAAGATCTTGCTTTCATAACTAAGGCATCACTTTGTCACTGTGCTTGAAGGTATTGGAAGCGGAATATTGTTTAAAACATAACTAGTATTAGTAACTGTGATGATATTTGTATGCTAAAAGAGAGGTATCCAAGATAAAACGGCTGGTCAAAGTGAGTATACCCTCAGAAACAAACAATGGTCCACACAAATCCCGCACCACTAACAATCCTTAGGGCTTTCTTCTGCAAAATCAAAAGAACAATAAATAGGATTTGTATGTGAAACCCAAAAACGGCAAACCATATCGAAGGCGCGACTCAACAAGCGCAAAATACACCGTATACACCAGTTACCGCTTAGCTATATCTTTAACAAAACATACTGATGACAATTTACTTCACAAATCTAGAATGTGCTTCCTCAAAAAGAAGCCGCAACAATAAAGAGATCCAAAAAACGGCATTTATTTATGTCCTGGATGTGACTGTTATCATCAAGCCGCAGACCATCAACACTGCACTTGAACCCCATAAGACTAGTCTTACCTGCATTAAAGACCAACTTATTAGAGGCACACCACTCTCTAATAGTAGTCAGCTCATATGCTATTAGGGCCCCCACCCCAGCACTCAGGATAATGCCAAAAAATACTGGTTCAATCGACAAACTGCATAATTTTTCCTTGAATTGGCAAAAAGTTCATATCATGAATGTATAATAGGAACAGAAAGGGGCCTAAAACAGACCCTCTGGGGCACTCCACAGTTGATAGCAAGAGAATCGGGGTAGCTACCAGAAAACAAGACACGTTGATGTCGACCCGAAAGATAGGACCTGAACCAAGCCAAAGCGGTCTTCCCAAAACCATAACACTTTTGGAAGCAACAGCCACACAATCAAACGCTTTGGACAAATCGCAAAATACCGCTGCGGTTGATTTTCTGCCATTCGAGGACCAATAAATATTCTCCAGAAACTTGAGAATGGTAACATGCCACCTGGCCCAGGTGACCTGGGGCCCGATTCTCGTCCCCAGGGAGTAGAGCTCCCCGAGAGACGTAATCGAAAAGTGAACGAGAATGATAAAGACGAAAAATGTGTTCTCTGGGGGAGCTCTCCTCTCCCTGAGACGAGAATCAGGCCCCTGGTGGAAGCTTGGAAGCCATATTGGTTGACGCTGAGGATATTATTTGCTGCTATAATTATTGATGTGATTCTTTTTTTAACGAGCTATTCAAACACCTTAGATAGTGTGGATAAAACAGAAATTGGCTGAAAATTAGAAGGATATCTTTCATAATATCACCTCCCTTATGCAGGGGCATTACAATGGCCAGTTGCTGACCCAGACCCTCGAAGAAAAGTTGTCGTCTCTGGAAGAATTTTTATTACGTAAATCAGCGAAAACTTCTTTGATCCCTTGAACATTGGTAGGGGCGAAAAAAAAAAGTTAGGTATTCCAACGTTGCTAAGATATGAAATTGGATTCGCATCTGATGACAAGCAGTTAAGCAAAAGGCAGTATTAAATGTCTGGGTACGTCCACTTGATCGGAGCTCATTTATTATTAACCAAGGTCTCTCTGGATTTGTTTTTTGAAGAAGGGAGTCTATCTGCATAATACTTCTCCTTAGCTGCCCTGATAAGCGTGTAGTACAGTAGTTTTTACAGTAAGTTATGAAGACAATATTATTAGTGAATCTACTAAGCAGGCCCAGACAAAGAAAAATATGACAAGATATCCAAAGGCCCTCAGTGAACCACGGCTCTCCAGGCTTAGTTTTAATGTTTTTCAATGGAAAGGCAGTATTAAAAGTATCGAGCAAATCAAGTAAAAGGAAGAAAGTAAATCAGGAGAATCTAGGCAGCCTGTTTATTTCCAAGGTTCTATTGCGGAACACCTCAAAACTTCCCCCATCAAAAATCCTACCTCGCCGAACACTCTTGCCTGATTTCCTTATTTCTAGAGGAAAGTTGGAAAGGAACGCTTCATGATCAGAAACTCCAGATGAAAACACACTTGTGTTATTTGACAAATTTGAACACAAATAATCAATAGACGTCGTAATATGTGTAGCAGAGATGTGCATATCCAAGCCATAGGAAAGTAACAAGTACAAAAGTAGCACTGTGTTCAAGTTATGCAAATTCCCAAAGTTAATATTTAAGTCACCAGCTAAAACAATCTCTGAATCAAGAAATAGGGTCACTACTGGGTAGACAGTAAATACATAAAATGTATACATTAATACGTTTACACAAACAAACTCAAACACCCTTTCAGTTAACCCAACAACAGTGTATAATATATACCTAGAATAAGAAATGTGTATAAAGGAGTGCAAGCCATCCAAAACTGAAATGATTTAGGTACTAGTAACTAGAAGAACCTGAAAGCCTCACACCATTGTATACTCACACACAGTGGCTAGAGCCAAAAAAAAAAAAAAACAAGCAACCGGAATTGTAATGAGAGCCTTCCTCCTCTTGGTTTTCTGAGATCTAGAAGAGTTTCTCCTGCTAGATTCTTGTGGATGACAGCTTATCTCTTCTGCTATCAACTATCATCTTCATCTGAACAATAAAAGTTATTAGCCTCTTCAACATTAATTTTAACATCAATATTCCCATAACACCCTTTAAATTTCCTAACAATATCGCCCCATAAAAATTGCTTATCACATTTAGGGCATTTACCTTCAACTGGAATATATTCACCCAAACATAAAAAATGTTTGGACATACAAATTACATGGCATAAAATGTTACAATTTGAATTGAGACAAGTTACTCGCCTCGAGTTTTCTGTGATTAATTTAAAGCAGACATAACATAAGTCTTTATTTGGGCTACTAGAAGATTCAACATCGTCTTCTGGCTGCAATTTATTTTTTTGGATTTTTTTGCTTATCACAGCTCCATAGCAAATGGGTATGTGCATCGGAGGACCTTTTCCTATTGGAAACTCTCTAGCAAACTCATCATTCAACCATTGAACAGTTAAAGGAAGCCTATTCCATGGACCCACTTGTAACATTTCAGATAAAACTCTAAGGCAAAAATCATAAACTTTTTCTCTTGACTTCTTTTTGGTGACATGCTGGAGCCTTCTTGAGGAATGTGGATGTTGCCAGGCCCATTCAAACTAAATTGTTTTAATAAAATAGGTAAATATTGTATTATTATTTATAACAGATATAGTTTGATCGTTTAATGTGGTTAATGAACACAATTGAAACTGCTTTGGTAATAATTCTGCATTATTTCAAATTGATCTTTTATTATTGTAGATACATAAATGTATAGTTGGAATACCAAACTAACTTTTCACATAGTTGGCTTGTCTGATGAGAGAAAAATACTAAAGTGCTTTATAAAATTCGCAATACTTACTCGTAAAGCTGATATATCATTTGGGAAACCATGAATTATCATGACCATAGTCCTACGGACAAGGAGTTATAAATTTATTTGTAATACCTACCTAATAAATTGTTTGAATTTACCATGGGCCTCTATTGCTAGTTTTCCAAGCACCACCGAACTGCTTGCCTTTATTATGTTGTTGTATTCTACGATTCGGATCCACTGTATATCCGATGTAGGTGCGTCCAGTGTATTTGGGGTTCAAACAATATAATAGATATACTCCGTAAAAGTTTTCAATAGTCTGAGCATTTTCCATGGTTTTTTAAAAATTTAAAATTAAAAATCTTGTTTTGGTAGGTTAGGGCGTTTGGCGCCAAGCCATTGTATTAGAGAAGGGCTTATCGAAACGATATATCGATATATACATCGATACGCCCTCGTTACAGATTACCCTACACTAATGAACACACTCCCAGTATTTTAATTTGCCTTTTGAGTTTTGACATGTCATATGGTTTTTTGTTGTGATTGTTATCTGTGACTGGATCAGCTCAGCATCAAGTAAAATAAATAAATCTCTCAGTAATAATCGTACAGAATTAGTTATCAGTTAATCAGTGGTGGTTTGTGCATGAAGTGGATGATTTATCAATATTTGAAATAAATTTATAATTTGATGAAAAAAAATGGCCTGGTCCAGGTATCAAGTTTCTTTAGCTGTTCTTATGGTATTTACTGGCAGTATTAACACCATAAGTACAAAGTAAGTACAATCTGTATGTCTAATATTGTAAAAACATGGAACAAAGTACCTATTCCTAAACCAATCTAAGCAATCATTTTTCCTTCGAGAACTTTGCACAGAAGAATTTAAAACCTCAGAGATTTCTCTTTTTTTTTTCTTCTTGTATTTCTTAAGGAATGTCCCTTATTAGGTATTTAATCTATTAAAGTAATAAAAAACATCGAAGAGAAAATTAAGTTTCAATACAGCGGCAATAGAATAGCCATTCAAACCTTTTTCTCAAAAAGTCTTTATAAATCTGATAACGTAATTAGGCTCAAATTAGGGCCAGTTATAATCCTTCATGCATCTATAGTCCGTTGCATGGTTCTTGAGCTACGACTACTGAATAGACAGAAAGAACAATGGGCTATTGCTGCGTTATCATATCAATAATAATATTTATTATTACATGAAAATGAAGGAAATTTTGTTGCAATTTTCATGTATTAATAAATATTATCGATATGACAACTGACAACGCAGCAATAGCCCATTGTCCCCTCTGTCTATTCAGTAGCCATAGGTCAAGAACCATGCAACGGACTATAGTAAGTAACTTCAATGGTCTTGCAGCTGCAAAGCTTCAACAGTCTTTTAACAGCTTCGATTTTTATGAAGTTGAGAGAGCGGAAACATTTGTTTTCTTCCCTTAATATCAATCTTTTTTATATCCACTAATACAATTTCGATCCAATCCCTTGAGGAAATTATTGACAAAGCAAAAGGCGAGGGGTAAACCCCTAGCCAAATTTGTACACTTAATACTTACATGGAGCACAACGAAATACAAAGAAATCCATAAGAATACAAAGGAATACATTAGAATACACAGGAATACACTCGGGAATACATTATGACTATAGAGTACATAAAAATACACAGAAGGCAATACAAAGGAGTACACAGTAAACATCGAGATAAACATAAAAGATAATTCAGTAGTTACTAGCCTGATTGCTCGTGACATTGCATGCATGAAGTTGTGTTCAAAAACCAGATATAAGTACTACATACTTTCACCACCCTTAAATAACTATTATGCCATTAACTTGGTATTCATGGTTTTAGGAATAATAAAGAGCTATAGCAGTTTTTAACCCCTATTGAGGGTCTACAGGGATAGAATTTAAAATTATTGATAAATTTTCTGTTGTTAAGCTCAGATCAACCCAACATCGGCCTAAAGTGAGGTTTTATAATATAAAACTGGAAAAACAAAAAATTATCAAATCGAAAGTATTAGGATGGGAGTTGTAAATCTGGACAGATAGGTGAAACAAGATTTAGTAGTAGTAGTAAACAATATTTATTGAACTAATTGTTCAAAGGGCCATCGAGGTCTTTCAGCCTTTGATATCTACAATTTTATATGTATTTACAAATTTGCAGTTTGGATGTTAAAACCCTCGTTCTTGTATGTTAGGTTTCTAAAATGCTTGCTTCTTGTTATTGTCTTTTTCTTCATTGTTGACAGGTGATATTTGAAATTTAATTTATTGTCGAAATGAATACCCAAGTATTTGATGTGAGATTGAGGGGGTATTTGGTGGTTGAGAATATCTAGTTTTGGTGAAGCTTCGCTGACTCGTTCGCTGATCTTGTGATGAAATATTATAAATTGCGATTTTTCAGGATTTACTTTTAGTTTCCACCTATCTAACCAAACAATCACTCTGTTAAGTGCCATTTGTAGAGATTGAACAGCTTGGCATATATTCTTGTGGTGTGATATAATAGTGGTATCGTCTGCAAATTGTATGATATATGGACTTGCAACTGTAACCTGGTTTGTTGGAGGGAAGATGTCGTGAGGATAAATATTATAGAGCAATGGCGACAGAGATGATCCCTGTGGTGTTCCCTGCTCATTAGAAAATGGGTATGAAAGGCTTCCATTTATTTTTATCACATTTTGTCGATTCTCCAGGAACTTCTTAACAAACCATATCAAGTATCTTGCACATTGTAACTGGTAGAGTGTAAACAGGATACCTCTATGCCAAACTGTATCAAAAGCCTTTTTAATATCTAAAAACGTCGCCGCACTGAAACCCATAACATTTGTTGTCTGTATGTTTGATGTTAGAATGGAAAGTGGATGAATACTGAATAGTGCAGTGACCTTGCTTGAAACCGAACTGATGCCCAGGTACTGGCAAAAGGGTAATTGGTCTGTAGTTTTCCACTCTGGAATGGTCTACGTTCAGTTTGGGTATGGTTATGACTATGCTTTTTTTCCAGGTATTTGGAAAGTAGCCATTAGTTAGACAGTTGTAAATTTGTTTTATTCTTGTGTGGATTTCTGGGCTGAGTTGTCTTTAAATATTACAGTTAATGTTGTTGTAACCTGGAGTGGTGTTTTGCCCTTCAGCTATGACCTGTTTGTATTCATCGTCCTCGATTTGTATATCAGCTGTGTATAGCTCGCCTGAGAAAAATTCATTAAAGGGGGTGTGCGCCAAAAATTAAAGTTTTAGTGTAAAAAAATCTAAGAATATCTGTTCAAACCTCGTTATTCTACGATAAACCATCGCTGAGATATACTGCTTTAAAGTATGGACGACGCTCTCGTGACGTCACGAAAACTTCGTCCAGCTGCGCTCCGCATTGTTAATTTGATTGTTCCCGGCACGTGTGAGTGGTTTTTGTTTAGATTATTGCAGGTAACACAGGAGAAACATATGTAAATTTAATTAACTCCACTTTCTCGTGCGTCGCTTGAGCTTTCGTGACGTCATAGGGCATAGACGTCATGCAGTACCTTTATAGAGCCATATCTGCGGTATTATTTGTCATAGAGGGGAGCGGATTTCACTATTAGATTTTTTTTCTCTTTTTTTTTAGATGAAGTTGTTTTTTTGGCGCACACCCCCTTTAAACCATTCGTTGACAATTGCAGTTTGCTTGTCCCCGTCATTCTTACTGTTATCCATAAAAAGATTTTCATAGTACTCCGCAAAGGCATTAGACAAACAAGATTTAAAAAAACTGTTATTACTGTTTTCTCTTATAATCTGACCCGATCTTATATATTTTTTGGGAATGCATAATGTGTTAGCTCTTTCCAGTTGAAATGGACCGTTACCTCAATAGGACTATGAAATATATATGCTTCATCTACTGCTTTGTTGTTACCTTAGGCCAAGTGAAAGTATCTGGCTCAGATTTTGAAAATTTGAGTCGGTATTTCTTATTCTCTATAAAATCGACATATGATGTATCGTCTATGTCTTGTTCTATGATCAGTGGCAAATCTTGATAAATGCAGTCATTTTTATTAGCAGTAATTCCGAATACGACAGCATCATTAACACATGATTCTATGTTTATGGACAAAATTTCTTCCAAGGTTACAATAGCAGATTGGCCATTCTGAAGAATTTTTCACATGGCCTTGTCTACTCGCTTGTCTATGTTTGGCACAGGGTGTATGGATTTCATATGAATTTCATAGGTGATTGTTCGGGGGCGCTGACAATAACTTATTTCAGGTCCATTATAAGTTTCACTACGAAACAAAAATGACTCCAAAACATTCTTTCAGTTTTTTTCAGTCATACTCGAGGTCATATCATGAAAAAATATTTATTATTATTCTTTTAAAAAGGTCAAGGAAAGGGCTAGGACGCAAATTTTAGGGGCATAAGTTTTATTGAACAGGCTCGAAATAGCCTCAAAAGGGATAAGTTGGCAACACTAGATGTTTGTTTGACTTGTGGAGATAGTCACGACTTAAAATAGGTCCTCTATATATTTAACTGATTATTTCCCTCATCATGAAATAGACCGATCAGACAACGCCATTTTTTAAATAAATTTTGTTTAAATAAGTGATTAAAACACTCGTTAAAACACTACACCTTTTCCATAAGTATTTCAGAATGTATCACTTGTATTTCAGATTCATCAATTCTAGTTCAGAATGCGTCAATTGTATTTCAGTTGTGTAAGTTCAATTTCCGAAAGTGTTATTTGTATTTCAACTTTGTCAGTTGTAGTTCAGAAAACATCATTTGTGTTTCAGATTCGTCAGGTGTATTTCAGAAAAAGTCATTTGTATTTCAGTTTGGTCACTTGTATTTCAGAAATCGTCATTTGTGTTTCAGATTATTTATTTGTAGATCAGAAATTGTAAATTGTATTTCAGAATTCGTCAAATGTATTTCAGATGTTATCAATGTAGTGTATTGAATAAAATTTATAATGAGTCACCTATACACCTATCTTGTGTTGATTTGGGGAAATCTACGTAGATACCTACTAATTTCTGAACTACATCTGACAATTTCTGAAATACAATTCACGCTTTCTGAACTACAATCAACTAATATGAAATACAATTGATGCTTTCCGATATAAAATTAACTAATCTGAAATACAATTGACACTGTCTGAAATAAAATAAACTAATCTGAAATACAATTGATTCTTTCCCAGATAAAATTATTTATTCTGAAATATAATTGACGCTTTCCGAAATACAATTTACTAATCTAAATTACAATTGACGCTTTCTGAAATTAAACTGACGATCTCTGAAATACATATGGAAAAGGTGTAGATCGCGATTAATTTTTTTTACAGAATTATGATAGAAATATTTAAATTTTATCAAGCATTATAAATAAAAATCTTTTCTTGTTGGCATTAATCCAAATTATTCAAGAAATAATCTAGCCGTATACCACTCGACCTATAAAGTTAAATGGAATAAGCTATCCAAATAGTTTTATATGATTTCTGGCAAATCGTTTCAGATACCTGTATGTATCCATTCGAAAAATTTCAATTGAATCCCTCAAACATTTTCCTCACAAAGATAAAACGTCCCTCAATGTCTCGCTCAATGTAATTTTCTAGAAATTTGATTGTTGTTGAAATGACGTCAACACACATTTTGGCTCACAACATTTCAACTTTTTTTTTTCTTTAACAGTTTCTCGATCAAAAAATCTAATTTCTTTTTCTTTATACGATCAATTGAGGAGTCATTGATTGACTTGTTTTGAGCCTTGTTACATGAAATTTTTGAAGTCTTCTGTTCGTTCAGTCATCAGTGAACCGTACCCACTCTCTGAGTGGTTGCAATTCGCTTCAGGAGATAATTGTCTTTTGTTTTGGAAAATTCTTACACGCGTTAATACTGTCCCTGATAATCCAGTGTGACGTCACAAACCTCTAGTTGTAAATTTAAACCGCCCTAACTCGAAAACGGACCATCGTAACAAGATGCGGTTTAAATATTTACTCTTAGATTTTTTTTGCACTTAAACTTTCACACCCCTGTTAAGTGTATTTGGGGCCTTTCTAATAAATCTTTGGGTGAATACTTCACCCAATAATTTATAACAAAATGCTGTTATTTTTTTAGGTGGGCAGACACAATAAAATCAGTAAATCGCTATGGAGAGGAAAAAACGTTTGACCACCCATTCTTCCAAGCTAGCACCATGTTTTTGGGCGAACTAACATGCCTGATAGTTTTCAAGATTATGTATTATATTTATAGTCGAAGATCAGTAAGTACAAAGACCATAATCTCAATGTTACAGTTAATATACAATTTTTGACAGAAAAACATTTTGCAATGAAACTTGCTTCAAAAAATATAACTATTCATAAAATCATAGGCCAACTATTCAAATAAATAATAAAACAAAAAATGTTTATTGTGAGATACTTAATCATATTTGGTCAAAACATCCATGTATAAATTGGTAATTTAAATTTATACAATTAGCCAGCAATTTATCAGTTATTATATTTTTACATAACCACGTATTGTGACTCATTTATTTAATGTAATAAGCACATTTGGAGTGGAAACAAAGATCATAATATAATAATTTAAAAATTTGAACCATTTTCTTTAACTGCTGTGATGTGTTATATTATTATTTGTCTCTAATATCAAGCAAGTGTTCTCGAAATTCAAAGCAATAATTACAAAATTCTAAATTCTTGGTACCTATCTAGTTACTCCGGAATATAATTGCTTTTTCGCTCCAATAATTATAAAATAACAAATAAAATTGCCGCATAATAGGATTTTATACTTTGCACTAATATTGACTACTTAAGATAATTAAGTTTTAACAAGAGTTTCAAGTGTTTTCAAAAACTTCTATTATTCTTCTTGATAGGCCGATAACTGATAAGATTAACATTTTCTTGACATATATTTTTCTTTGAAAATTTAGGCCATGATGTAAAAAAAGAAAATGCAATATTTCAAAGACTGCGAATATTTCCATGCAATAATAGAAAAGACAGCAGAAAACTAATTAACAATAACTATTTACTCCAATATTATTTTCAGGATGGTACTGAAGATGTCTCAGAACTCACCAAAGGAAATAGAGACTTCAATCCATTTATTCTTTACATACCTGCCATGTGTGATATGACAGCTACTTCTATAATGTATATCGGCTTAAATTTAACATATGCTTCTAGTTTTCAGATGTTCAGAGGTAAAAATATAAGAACTCAAAAACCTACTGTAATGCTAACATTTTTTTTTGTGCTTTTAGGTTCCGTAATAGTATTTGTAGGATTATTAAGTGTAGCCTTTTTGAACCGTACCTTGAAAAAACAGGAATGGGTTGGAATTTTATTTGTCATATTAGGTGAATATTTTAACTAAAAATTTAACTTTATGACTAGGATTTAAACCTAGAACTTGTACATGCCAAATGTTCCCAGTTGAGGAAAGGGCATTTTTGGTCAAATTTTGTTATGGTATACATATTCTAAATTGGAAGGTTACAAAGAAACCAATATCATCATCAGATGGTGATGATACTATATTTATCACAACAGTCTTAATATTGCCTTTTTCTCAACCTTCTTATCATCATCAACATGCCATCATAATGTCTGATGTGCCACTAACTAATCAGAAATTCATACATTAAGTTATTTAAGTAAAATCTAATTTGATTTCAATAGGATTGGCTGTTGTTGGTGTAGCAGATTTTGCCTCGAAGGATTCCAGCGAGAACCACAACAAAAACGACATAATCACTGGAGATTTGTTAATAGTGATAGCACAAGTAATCCAAGCCATACAAATGGTTGTAGAAGAAAAATTTGTCGCTGGACAAAATATACCTTCTCTACAAGCTGTCGGCTGGGAAGGTGTGTTTGGTTTCCTAACTTTAGGTCTCCTCCAAATTCCGTTTTACTTCATCCGAGCGGTACCTCCACTAACGCCGCATGCAGGAGATAGATTAGAGGACGCCATTGATGCTTTTGTTCAAATTGGACATAGTTGGAAACTACTTTTTGCTATATTAGGTACCATTGTTTCAATTGCCTTCTTCAACTTTGCTGGTATTAGTGTCACTAAGGAAATGTCAGCTACAACTAGGATGGTACTTGATAGTGTGAGAACTGTTGTTATTTGGGGCTTCAGCATGGCGTTTTTTGGACAAGCGTTCCATTGGTTACAGGTAAGGAATTATTCATTCATAAAAAAAAATTGTTAAACCTTTTTTTTTTTTTCTAAATAGCTTTTGGGCTTTCTACTATTGATTATCGGCATGTGCCTCTACAATAACATAACACTGATAAGCACATTTATCTACACTAAGTCACTGATCTTTAGAAGAAGTAGAAAGCAGAATGTGGAAGATAGTATAATAAACACTAATGCAGAAGAAACTGAGCCATAAAAAAAATTTGTAGAGTAACAATAATTGATATATGAGACTGCATTTTAGGAAAAAGTAATAGAAATTTAAGTTAAAATTCTGGTATATCAATGCGAGATTAAATTTATATTTTAGCAGAAAAAATATTTTTATAATACACTCAAGTGTTAAATACTTTTTATTACGTTTTCGAGTAATTTTCGCTCTCCCATAGACAATATTTTAATAAATTAAAAAGTATAGTATAATGGGTATTTATATTATGGCTGTTAACATGAAAAACTATTGTATATTTTTTGTTTTCGGAAACTGTTTTATTGGTATATAAATGGCGTTAGAAGTCCTAAGAAATATTTTGGTTGTTTCATTTATGAGAGACTCACCTTTTCAGTTACTTTTTTGCCAACTGATGATAACTGTTTGTATGTATGCATATTGTCTTATTGCTATTTTTATTATTCGAGTTCTCTTTTTTTAAAAAGTTTACTTCAGCTTTGTCAATGAATAACCATGTATTTTGGACAATAAGGCATGTTTCGTTTTGATATGCAGGATAACAAAAAAATATGTTTTCAAGTCAACAAATTTAATAATTAATTTAAAAATATACATTAAATTTAGTTCTACAAGGATCGACAGACGCTAAAATAGATTTAGATTATTTGGTCACTTTTCGAACACTGGACAAAACGGAGCATATAACTATAAAAATTGTACTCCAATACCAAATTGAACACCAGGATGGGTTTGATCGCCTTTATCGAATTTATAAGGGAAACAATAATTGACTTCAATTCGTGCCATGTTGCCAAGTCTCAGAGCTACGCCCAGCCCATAAGAGAGCCTCATATTATTTTTCAATATATCTAATAGTTGACCTCTGGAAATTTTTTCCAGACTAAAATCTCCTACATTTCCAGCATTAATGAAAAAGTGTGTCCTAAAAAGATCTCCAAAACCTCCTCTGCCTGGCCTGAAAGGTAATGGTGTGAATAAATGCAATCCAGCTGCCCAATAGGCATTTGAGCCAAGGGCGTCTCCATCGGAATGAGGCCCCACCCCTCTAGCCTCAAAGCCTCTCACTGAAAGTGGACCACCTATGTAGCAACGATCGGCTACGGTGATTTTTTTGTCTTTGCTGAGCGTGGTTAAGTAGCCAGCCATGAGACTAGTTTGAAGAACCTAGAAAAATACAATTTTGGATGTGTTCATGGTAGGAGAAAGTTACTTACGATATCTTCGAACAAGGAAGTGTTGTCTTGGAAAACTATTTCGTTTTTTACGAATCCAACATCGCCTCCAATACCTGCCAGTTCTGATGTTACCTGAACTAGAGAACTGTAAATAAAGAGATTTTTGCTATAAATTAATAAGTAAATTCAATGATAAAAGTATTTTGGTATCTCAAGGAAATATTTGGATTAAATTTTTATTTGGAAGAACTTACCCGGAACTAGGAAAAATCAAATCGTCCCTAAGATCCAATGATAAAATATGTCTAAAAGCTGACTTTAAATTTACTCCAGCTTGTTCTCTAATATCAAAAGATGCAGTCCTTGTTAGTGTTGACAAATCTCTTATAATGCCTTCCCATTGAAGGCTGTGTTTCAACAAAGAGGTTGAGTAAAATCCAAAATCTATTGCAATGCCCTGTTCAACCATTTTATATCCTGAACTTGGCCATTGAGAGTGTGCTTGCAAAATGGAAGTTCTCATACTAAAAAATGTTTGTGGTTAGATTTCCGGAGTAAAAACTAAAAAAAAATACCTTGCTCTGTGTTTTCCCCTGAAAGGTTTTATAAAAGCCAAATTAAAGTTGCTAGTTTTTTTTGAGCCGTGGCTGTATTCCATTTGAACTCTCTCGCCCCTACCGAATATATTTGGGGCTCGCATTCCCACCAAAACCGAGCCTTCATTATTGCCAACTTGTGTACTGATACCTCCTGTAACTCTACTGTGTTCTTTAACGTCAAAAGTCACTTCCAAGCCATCTTCTGTAGCAGTTTTACCTTTGCTAGTATCAATGTACACTCCGATGTTTTTGAAGCAACCCAATTCATCTAATTTCACACGAGCCTAAAAAAAAATCAGTTAGAGTAAAAAATGGGCTCTTTCACTAATTTTTGAAAGTGGTATATTTGGATAAAGCAACTAAAAACAGAATTTTCTATATTTTTACTTTTGAAAAATTCAAAGTCCTTCTTGAGAAAACAGAAAAAAAAGATATACCTCCAAATATCCATATCCCTGTGATAGCTATATAGGGGCATTATGCACATGGTGGGTTTTTGTAGATTTTAAGTTTAATTTTTAAGTTTCACCAGTCCTATGTATAGGTAACTGATTACCTCTATAGGTATTATAATGTTTAACATTGTAATAATTTTCTGGAAATAAATAAATAAATAAAAATAAAAACCCAGAATTTATTTCTATGACGTCGCAGCTCGCAATTTAACCGTGTTGCCACTAATTGTCAACATTGAAAATTTGTAATAGATTTAATTCTGAAATGTTGGAAAAATATCATGAAAAGTAGTTAAATTAATTAGTTATGGATCCAAGATTTTATCTTTTTTTTTTAAAAAATTATGCTTAAACACAATTTAATACAATTTTTTATGTGTAGTTTTATTTATTTATTTTATGCTGCACTACCATTCAGTCACAACCGAAAACAGCGCATTTGAACCTTTAACGTACTTTACAGAGCGCAACACAGCCGAGCCGGTCAGCTCCTTGCAACAACATAAGCGAAATGAAAAATATTTATGGGACGTCAGCAAATCGGCGCGTTTAAAATAATTTTGAATTTCGCCAATTTCAAGTGCCTGTAAAAAACTTATTCAACCTTGTAGAACATTTTTTTTTTTGGTATATATGCCTAAAATAGTCCCTCCTTTGGGATTTTATGCTTAAATTACGTATTTAAATTTTAGTGAAAGAGCCCATTGCTTATACCTATTTAACATCTGATAAATTTGCTTTTCAAAGAGACCATCACAAACTATTAATGGTTGATTGGGGTAGTGACTTTGAGGAATTAACTCAATCTTTTTATGATATACTTGATAATGTCATTAAATTAAAAACTCCTTCAAACAGGAATGAGAATCCCATTTTCCAAAGTAAATGTACCATGCCATTATAGGAATTATCCTGAATAAAAAAGCCTCACACAAAAGCTTTAGGCAAACATCATACATCATAATACCATAGATCCTCACAGCTACGAGTGCAGTGCAAACAATATGCTCTCATCAGTCATCAAAACTACTTGGATTGCATACAAGATAGGGTTAGGATAAAAATGGTTATTAGAATTACATAAGATCTAAACAAGATTCCAAAGGTTTTCCTAGCTGTATGATATTTATAGATAAGAAAGCAGATTCACCTGCAAAAATTGTAGAGCTTTTTGAAGATCATTTTAGCTCCGTACATAATAAATATCATGATTTAAACAATTTTATTATTTGCTGTGATGCTAGTGGTAATTTAGGTTCCTGTTTTCCTGTTGCTGTCATTAAAAAGCATATTATTTATATACTTGTTTTCTTAGGTCTTGTAAAATCTATAATATATTGTTATCTCCAAGAATTTCTTCAACAATTTGGAAAACTAGTCTTGTTACTTGTAAGCCATCCAATTTTGAAGATTGGTGATAATTACAACATTGAGAATTACAAGCCAATATCAAAAATTTCGATATTTTCTAAAATTGTTGAGTTATGGAATTAGAGGACCTGTGTTGAACTTGCTGAGACACTATCTTGTTCTCGTTCTCAGTCAGGAGCAGGTTATAGAGATGGGGGTGCCACATGGTACAGTACTGGGACAAGTCTTATTTATTGCATAATATAAACACAATCTCTTATCTCTCAATGTGGATGGTATTGTTGTCTTATGCAGATGAAACTGTCTTGGTTTGCGGTGGAGTGAGATACAAGATGACGCTCTGACTTGACATTATAAAAACAATGGCTGGATGCCTATAAATTATCACTTAATATAGCAAAAACGAAAAACACATTTCATTGTGTTTTCATTACCCAACGCTAACGTTCCAAGTTTTATGAGCTTCTAAAAATATCGGTTTTATAGTATGAGCTGGTCCACTTGTATGTTTCTATCAGATCTTCTCTTTGACTCCTTTCTCTGAGTGTTGTAAGCCTCTATTTCTCTAGTTTTTCCAGGTAGGTATGGTTTAGCTTGTAGTGTTCTAGGTATTTTTATTACTTTTCTCTGTCCCCACTCAAGTAACTCGATGTCTTTGATGTAATACGGGTTCCAGACTGAGTGTGCAAATTCCAATTTTGGCCTAATACTTCAGTCTTTGGTAAGTTTCCCATCTAGCACTGATCTACTTATTATGTGCTCCACCCTGTGCTCCAAAGTACCTGTGCTGTGTGCAATTCTTCAAAAAGATTGATGGAATTTCATCCAACCCTGGCCATGCATCCTTCTTCAAACTATCTAGGTATTGCCTGTTCAATTTTATAGGTTGTGAAGACAACTGATGTAATACTTGTTCTTATTCATCTGCAATTGTAGATGGAGAGTTCTGAGCTCGGTTCTGAGTAGGAATGGCACCTCAGTCAATTGACCAGTCAAAAGTTGTCAATTGACGGTCAATTTTACCGATGCTAGAATATTTGACCAAATCAATTTGACCAATTTAAAAAAAATTACCTGCTAAAGCAATAGTTTATTGTACAAAAAATAAAGCAAAATTTTTCTCTAGAAAATGAAACAAACAAAATTTCTTTCCTTTAGTAAAAAGGACAAAATCAACACTTTTTTTTATGAAAAGAAAAACAAAACCACTAAGGCTTGGTTTATTCATCTCCAGATAAACTTCCTGCTAACTATCTGATGCTTGATAAATGTACCGTTCTATAATTCTATTGGTCAGCGGATAACTTGCCGATCAATGGGATTACAGATTGTGTTTTTATCTAGATTGCATACCTGAGAGTTTATCAGAAGGTAAATAAACTGACCTTGAAAATGAACTGAAACTTTCAGGAGTTTCAGGTAAATATTTCAAAATAAACAATTGAAAATCTTGTCTATCTTTGAGTATTTGCCCTGGCGGTTAGACCAGGAATAAATGGATGGCAATAATGCTACCGTCATAGCATCACACTCCCCACTACTGGAGTATTTGACTGGAGCAATTTGACCCATGACCAATCAAATAATAGGTCAATTGAACGAAAGATATTTGACAGGTCATTTGCCAACCCTAGTTCTGAGTTTCTTTAGTGTAAAGGCTGTATTGCTCGACAAACTTTTCTGCTATTTCTTGAGGTGCCCTCCAGTATCAGTATATTTGTTTTTTTATTCCTTAGTGTGATTGTGGTGCTTTTAGAGTTCAGAGTGATAGTTATAAAATTTCTTGTTTCCACCCTTTAGGAGTTCATGCTCATAAGTTTTTCTAGCTTGCTTCAGTATTTCCTTTGTTCTGTGCTCTATATGTGTTGTAATCTGCCTCTTGGATTTTTTGATATTTATCCCAGAGTTTCCTTTTCAAGTCTATTTCTTTGAAAGATTTGGATGTTATCGATGGTTTTTCGGAAGAGGAGGCGAGGAGGGAGGTAACCTAACAGTGTTTGTTTTTTAATTTAATAATTAATGTTTTATTTTATTTGATGTTCTGTTTGGATAATAATTATAATATGATTGATTGGTTGTACCTCAGCTTGTACATATAACTAACTAAATATAAGATTGCTTTAACTAATGCTTCTACTTAGGTTCCATTAAGTCAAAAATGGGTGGGCCTATTGACCATTTCAGGGCCCGTATTCTCGTCACAGGGCAACAGCGTTCTCTCAAGAGCAACAATTGTTTTGTCTTTAGTCACCCATATTGTTATTTCCTCGGTTATTTCCATAATACTGATAAAGACAGAGCACTTGTTCTCTTGAGAGAACGCTATTCCCCAGTTACGATAATATGGGCCCAGGGAGAAATATTTATCAGATTTGATGTGTTAACATTAAAGTAAGTAGGTATGACTTTGGTTATGAGTGACTCACCCTATGAGCTTTTAATAGTACATCTTGAAAATCTTTAGCTTTGAATAATTCCCTTATACAATCCTCTACTATGTCGTTTTTGGTTCTCCCAAGCCCTTCAACGTTTATTTTATCGACCCTGACCTAAAAACTCAAAATTTAATTAAAAGAACTAGCTAGAAAGGGTATCCGAAACAGGCCGGCTTGTCACATGATAAAAACCATCAAATACTTACTGGAACTTTTTCCATATCAATTTCCTTCACATCAGGTTCATCCTGATGCTCTTTCAGGCCAGTTTGCCTGGCAAATTCGCCTACATTTTTAGAACTACCATCCTGAACCTAAAATTTGGAGGTTAGATTTATATTTAGATGTTAGCTAATGATGTAAATTACTTGCCTTTGCGTGAACTATGCCCATTTTTGTGTTTGATATTTCAATGGGCTTGGTTTAACATAACATTTTCGATTCAAAAGGGAACCTTTTTCATTGATTAATAAAAAAATTCGGGAAAAGTTTAGGCCGTTTCCCTAATAAAAATTTCCCAAAACTGTCAAATGCAAATGTCAAACAAATAACAAACAGCGACAAAACAGGAAACTGTAAAATTAGGTGCAGATTTCATTGGTGCAGATACAAAATCTCCAAAGAAATATACTTGGCAATGTCGCAAAACGCCCACAAATTTAAATAAAATTTGATTTTTATTTAAAAAAAAATACGTTTATTTAAAGATCACAAATAAAACATTGCATATTTACAAAATCATTACTTTTTGCCACCTAAAATGTAACAACGAATTAGCACTTGGGAAAAATTAAACAACGCATCTTCAATCTTACCCTTTTTGCCCCCTTTCGGTGCAGCAGCATCTTTTGTAGCACTTTTTTGATCAGCTCCCTTAGCAGCGCCAGCTTTTTTCTATAAAATAAGAAATAGAAATTAAAAATAAGGAAAATAAGAGCTTACATCTGCCCCGGCTGGTGCAGCTCCACCGCCGGCTTTACCCCCTTTGCCTTTACCCATCTATTCTATAGAAAATTGACTTTAAATGTTTTAATTATTGTAACAAGTGTGTTTTCATGCCAAAATGTTCTTTAGTAATGCGACATTGTTTTGGTACGAGTTCAAGATTTATTTTTAAATGCGATTTTTGGCAACCGATTTTGTTTATTGTCACGAATCCATTTTAGTAAACAAATTACCTAATAATTATTATTTTCTCCTTTGAATTCTTCTCTTCTTAAATTTTGGTATACCCAAAACAAACATACCTACTAGTTGGGGAGCTGGCGTCAAAAACATGCAAGAGTTTTCGCAAGGCGGATATTTTCAAAATAGGTCGTACTTTAGTGTTAGAATGCTAGTGTACAGTCAGCACTCACAGTTCCGGGACAGCTGGCTCTGGGACGCGGGCAAAGTTGTAATTTCAAGAAGCATCTAAACTGTTTTCTCAAAACTCAAAATTTATAGACATTTTGCACATTATCTGTTTGAAGGTCACAGATAACATATGTAAATCGTCAGACGTCTAGTTCGTTGCAAAAAGGGGGTCAGACGGCCTCAAAGTTTTTATTTTATGGCATTTTCTTCGGTGTCCTGTCAAAATATATTTTTGCAGGTATTTGACAAATATATTTGAAGAAAATGCCATAAAATAAAAACTTTGAGGACGTCTGACCCCCTTTTTGCAACGAACTAGACGTCTGACGATTTACATACGTTATCTGTGACCTTCAAACAGATAATGTGCAAAATTTCTATAAGTTTTGAGCTTTGAGAAAACAGTTTAGATGCTTCTTAAAATTACAACTTTGCCCGCGTCTCAGAGCCAGCTGTCCCGGAACTGTGAGTGCTGACTGTACACTAGCACTCTAACACTAAAGTACGACCTATTTTGAAAATATCCGCCTTGCGAAAACTCTTGCATGTTTTTGGCGCCACCTCCTCGACTATACTATAGGTATACATCATGCAACAGCACCAGGATACAGGCGCCTATTTTTTTTAAATAATAATTTGGTTATCTCAAGAGTTGCGATAATAAATAATTTCAAGCTCAATTCATTCATACAGAAATCATATTTCAACATATAAAATCCGTAGTGTACTTAAAAACTGGTTTCGGGCAATATTTTCAGTAATAGGTACAATCAACTTAATCAAGTATTATCATAGATTATTAAAATCTGTTTTTTTTTTTAAGATAAAAGTCAAAATGACATTATGTTCGCAGTACAATGTAAAATTGTCAATGCTTTGAAATTTTTTATGTTGAAAAGGCTTGTGTTGCCAACATACCGTTACCAAATTTTTGACTCGGGGAATTATCTTTAAAAAAAAAAACAGACTTTAGTATGGAAAAGAACATGAAATATCTGCAATTTACCACTGGTAAGAATTAGATTAAATTATTGTACATAGACAGATTGTAAAAAAATTTCAAAATTGGTTGTTAACAATAATTCCGAGATTTTGATGATAATTTATAAAAGGCTGCGATTTTCATGAACCTTCGCTTGGACATTCAAAAATTTTGAATTTTGTGACTTCCTTGGGGCGCGTTCAGATTGAAGAGTCTGGGCGACGTCCAGTGCAGAGCGTACCCGATAGAGAGTGCACTCCGAGTGTGCCTGGCGATTCGCCCAATCTGAACGGCCAAAACGCATTCTCTCCTCATAACATCACTATTTATGGGATGCTTTGATTTTGATTTTGTTGCCTTTTCAAAATTCACTGTGTTCGTGATTCTAACATTTTTGTAAAATAAGAAAAAAGAAAATTCAAAGATAATCAACTCTTATTTTATTTTATTTTGATTTTTTTGGTAGAACTTATCACATATAAAATAATACCTCTTAACCCCTAATTCTTATTTTAATTTATTTCCTATTTTATTTTATTTGTTGGATAAACTCGCCATAACTCCCAACAATAATATTTACAATATTTGCCTTTATTATTGGTTAGAACATAAACATAACACAAACGCGCATGCGGGGCAAATTTTATCTTATATTTTATGGGATGCAAAAGTGTGCGTCGGGGGGTCTGTTCCCACAGGAGTCTTTGACAGTTTGCAAACTGTCAGTAAGCATCGCCCATACATGTTTTCAATGTTGTCGTTCCAAGATTAATCTGTAAATCAGCTGAGCGATTGTTTCTGACAGTTTGCAAACTGTCAAAGACTCCTGTGGGAACAGACCTGGGGTGTCGTCAGGGGCGCGTTCAGATTGAAAAGTCCGGACGACGTCCAGTGAAGAGCGCACCCGATAGAGAGCGCACTCCGAGTGTGCCCGGCGATTCGCCCAATCTGAACGGCCAAGACGCATTCTCTCTTTATAACCTCACTGATTCTAACATTTTTGCCATTTTCTTCAAAATTTTTTAAATAAATACTAACTATGGAAGAAGCCATAGTATCTTCCTTCATATTTAAAGAGTTATTTAATGATGAGGACGCTTCATCTTCGGACCACGAGGATGTGCTAGTGTCAGTGATTGCTATCAATTTAGCATCACAAACTAAGCAAAAAAAAAGAGGCCACTTTTTTTTTAAATAGAGTTGATGAGGATAACGAAGAATTTGGATAAACCCACCATAACTCGCAAATAGTTATTTTCCTAACAAGTGCGCAAAGTGTTACTTTTCCGCACTTTGCGCACGTGTTAGGAACAAAATTTTTCCTACGAGCTTCATATCAGGTAGGTAACAACAAAAATTTAAAAAAAAAACGATAATTTGTTTAATTATTTTTAATTAACTTGAAGGGAACCTATGCATTTATCAAAAAATTACATAACAAAAAAAAAATATAACAGAAAATCATCGTCAGAGCTCTTCATCTTAAAGCGTTTAATGGCGATTTCCATTTGTCATCAGTGCCGCACTGAGTGCATCCGCATCTTTTTCTAAAAGCATGTAACATGTAAGGATAAGGATACATTTTTTTGCCCTGTTTCGACAAATGGAAAATGCTATAAATTTGATGAGATAGTTTGTAGATGCATATATATAGAAAACAAATCTGACAATGTGTTGAAGTTAATTAAATTTGGTGTTTGTAGGTATAGATGTTAGCTGGAACAGGAACAGAGGAAAAATTTGTCATCATGTGTCAAAGTCGACAGGTGTACTTATTGTTGCTTGACAATTATTTTTACTTTTCGGCACTCAGTGCGGATAAGGCCTGTATCCGCACTGAGTGCGGAAAAGTGCAACTTTGAGAACCGAAATGCGTGCGGAAAAGTACTACTTTGCGCACGCTCGTAGGAAAAATAATTATTTACAATATTTGCCTTTATTATTTAAGGTTAGAACACAAACGCGCATGCGGGGCAAATTTTATCTTGCTATTTTATGGGACGCAAAAGTGTGCGTCCGGGGCTGCGTTCAGATTGAACGTCGGGTGTCGCCCGAGCGCGTTCTGACCGTTCAGATTGCTTTGGGTAAAATTTACCCAGCCGTTCAGATTGTCAGTAGATTTTTACCAGACGACGCCCGGACGCACACTTTTGCGTCCCATAAAATAGCAAGATAAAATTTGCCCCGCATGCGCGTTTGTGTTCTAACCTTAAATAATAAAGGCAAATATTGTAAATAATTATTTTTGCGAGTTATGGTGGGTTTATTCAAATTCTTCGTTATACTCATCAACTGTATTTAAAAAAAAAGTGGCCTCTTTTTTTTTTGTTTAGTTTGTGATGCTAAATTGATAGCAATCACTGACACTAGCACATCCTCGTGGTCCGAAGATGAAGCGTCCTCATCATTAAATAACTCTTTAAATATGAAGGAAGATACTATGGCTTCTTCCATAGTTAGTATTTATTTAAAAAATTTTGAAGAAAATGGCAAAAATGTTAGAATCAGTGAGGTTATAAAGAGAGATGCGTCTTGGCCGTTCAGATTGGGCGAATCGCCGGACACACTCGGAGTGCGCTCTCTATCGGGTGCGCTCTTCACTGGACGTCGTCCGGACTCTTCAATCTGAACGCGCCCCGGGCGTCGTCCGGTAAAAATCTACTGACAATCTGAACGGCTGGGTAAATTTTACCCAAAGCAATCTGAACGGTCAGAGCGCGCTCGGGCGACAACCGACGTTCAATCTGAACGCAGCCCTGAAGCTTGACAACAGTGTTTCTTGTCATTTTTGTCTAATGTCAAATGTCGATTGATATTGATGGACATTAACCTAACATTTAAATTTTCATTCATGTTTTGCATTTAAAAAAAAAAAGTATAATTATTTATAAACAATAATAAATAATAACCATATATTTGAACTTTTACCTCCCTCTCTCTGAAGAATAATTGCAAATCATTAAAATGTTTTAAGTTTATTACGCGGATCTGACATACTTAATTGGGAAAAAAATGCCAGCACTACATCAAAATTTGAACGCCTTTTTAGGTGCCGCTGTTTTGGGGGTAATTGGGGCTGCTGGAATGTTTTTGGTGGAGCACTACAGACAGGAAAGAATGCGGAACGCTATGGCTAAAGATCTGGCAAGGCTCGAGAGAGAAATGGCAAAGATAAAGCTGGATTTGCAACAGTTACAGGCACAGAAGAGTGAGAGGTGAGTTTGTTTTCTTAGCTCAAGGTTTGGCTATTAAACTACCTTATAAATGTAAAGCTGAAATTTTAAGCGATTCTTATTCCAGTGGAGGACTACGCACTACAATCCCTGAAAATTTCAACTCATTTGGACTTAGGTATAGTTCCTGAGATAAAATCTTGTTAAGCAATTTGGGGTGATTTATCAATTTTTCAATTTTTCTGAGTGCCTTTTTTCATAGATTTCTGCTTCAAATCTGAGAATAATTTAGTGTATGGAGTTTATGGGATCCAAATGACCATTAGAACAAAAAATCTCAACAGAAAAAAAATGAAATTTCATCCATTTAGTAAGAAGGTACCTACCTTATGATTTAGATTTTGGAAAACTTTGGAAGCCATAACTTTTTTTCCATTAAAGATATAAAGCTGAAATTTTCAGTGATTCTTATTCCAGAAGAGGACTACAATCCCTGAAAATTACAACTCATTTGGACTTATAGTTCCTGAGATAAAATCGTGTTAAGCAATTTGGGGTGATTTATCGATTTTTCAATTTTTCTGAGTGCCTTTTTTCATAGATTTCGGCTCTAAATCTGAGAATAATTTAGTGTATGGAGTTTGTGGGATCCCAAATGACCATTAGGACACAAAATCTCAACAAGCATTTCGCGCCCTTGATACAAAAATAACTATTAACAGTAATATCACATTGATAAACTCACGAAAACACTCCACTTTACGTTCACACATCAACAAAACAAGTTAAAAACATAAAAAATTAGGTTAAGTTAAAACAAAAACCGCCAACGACTACATTTTTTACCGGGATTTGCTTAAATCCCGGGTACCTAGTGCGTCATATGGGTGACGGCATCAAAACTACCAGTAAAAAATGTGTTACCGGTACCGGGATTCTAGACACAGCGAAGATATAAAGCTGAAACTTTCAGCGATTCTTATTTCAGTCGAGGACTACGATTCCTGAAAATTTCAACTCATTTGGACCTATAGTTCTTGAGATAAAATCGTGTTAAGCAATTTGGGGTGATTTATCAATTTTTCAATTTTTCTGAGTGCCTTTTTTCATAGATTTCGGCTCCAAATCTGAGAATAATTAAGTGTATGGAGTTTGTGGGATCCCAAATGACCATTAGGACACAAAATCTCAACAAAAAAAAAATTGAAATTTCATCCATTTAGTAAGAAGGTACATACCTAATGATTTAGATTTTGGACAACTTCGGAAAGTCATAACTTGTTTTCTATTAAAGATATAGAGCTGAAATTTTCAGCGATTCTTATTTCAGTAGAGGACTAAAATCCCTGAAAATTTCAACTCATTTGGACTTATAGTTCCTGAGATAAAATCTTGTTAAGCAATTTGGGGTGATTTATCAATTTTTCAATTTTTCTGAGTGCCTTTTTTCATAGATTTCTGCTTCAATTCAAATCTGAGAATAATTTAGTGTATGGAGTTTATGGGATCCCAAATGACCATTAGAACAAAAAATCTCAACAGAAAAAAAAATGAAATTTCATCCATTTAGTAAGAAGGTACCCTTATGATTTAGATTTTGGAAAACTTTGGAAGCCATAACTTTTTTTCCATTAAAGATATAAAGCTGAAATTTTCAGTGATTCTTATTCCAGAAGAGGACTACAATCCACAATCCCTGAAAATTACAACTCATTTGGACCTATAGTTCCTGAGATAAAATCGTGTTAAGCAATTTGGGGTGATTTAACAATTTTTCAATTTTTCTGAGTGCCTTTTTTCATAGATTTCGGCTTCAAATCAGAATAATTTAATGTATGGAGTTTGTGGGATCCCAAATGATCATTAGGACACAAAATCTCAACAAAAAAAATTTTGAAATTTCATCCATTTAGTAAGAAGGTATACCTCCCTAATGATTTAGATTTTAGAAAACTTTGGAAGATCATAACTTTTTTTCTATTAATAAATGTTGCATTGCTAGAAAATAATAAAGTAGTTTATTTCCATAAGACAACAATAATTATTATATTGTTGGTGTTTATTTTTCCTCTGTCTACAGCCCTAAGAGAAATTCTAATGCCACAATTTTTGCTGATCGATTTGACAATGTATTAAGAATTGTCATAGACCCAACCAATATTGAGAAGGCTTTAACGCAAATAGACAACAACAAGTCTGCAGGACCTGATGATATTCCTAATAAAGTACTAAAATCTTGTTCTAACTTTTTGTATCTCCCTCTATTTAATATTTTCAACAAATCCCTAACTTCTGGAATTTTCCCAGAAATGTGGAAGATCTCTTATGTTTGTCCTATTCATTCACAAGTCAGGCAGCAAGAATGATGTTACAAAGTACAGACCTATCAGCATTCTGTCTGCAATGCCATTATTTGAGCTGTTTGAAAAAAAATCTTTCAAAAATATTTCATCAGATTGTGATCAATCAACACTTGGATCAACAGCACGATTTTACAGCCGGAAGATCTGTTGACACGAACTTGTTTCTCTTTATACATTTTATAAATTGGTCATTCCGATAACAATGCAGAAACTCATGAAATATATTTATTTATTTTATTTATTTATTTATTCAAGCAAGAAATTCACAGTTTGGTATCAGTTACTAGTTTATAATATTATCAATAATACATTCGTTAGGACCATCTAAATATGTTAATAAATACATAGATATAATTATTTTGTTTCCTTTCATTTTGGGAGTACACAATGGATTTTATACAATTTGTGTGTGCATCCCTTCATCTTATTTATATTTAACTAACTTGAGGTCATGCATTTTTAATATAAATAAATCATTTTTTTTTTTTTTTTTTTTTTTTTACGGATATGCGCACTCGCAAGGAAATGTCCTATCACGCTCGAGAAGCGGCAAGTGCGCGGAAATGTCGGTGTATGTTGGTCTTGAAACGGTTCAGGTTGTAACCTGCAGGGAAAACCGTCGCAGGGAGTTTATTCCACAGCGATGCTGTTCTCCAGAGATATGAATTCTGATATAATGAGGTTCTTGGTGCCTCTAGTTTGACAGTAAATTTCATGGTTACCGTCTGTTTGACGGGTTCGCCTGGTAGGTGCTACTCTCGGTGGAATCATACGTGCCAACTCTTCAGAGCATTTTCCGTGATAGTACCTGTAGAAGAGAGATAAATCGCCCACAGATCTGCGATGTTCGAGACCATCCAAGTTACGAGTAAGTGCGGGGTCATTGATCAGCTTGATAGCTCGTTTTTGCACGGTGTTCAAAAGCATTAAGGTATGTTTGGGTGCTGCACTCCATATATGTGAGCAGTACTCCATAGTTGGTCGAATCTGGGCTTTGTAGAGTGTCAGCAATTGGCTTGGTGTGTACAGATGTCTTGTACGAAATAGCACCCCCAGCTTTTGGGACGCCCTTTTAGCAATATCTGCCACGTGATTGTGCCAAGACATGTTGGTCTCTGCAGTAACCCCCAAGATGTTCAACTGACTCTCTAATGTGACAGCACTTCCAGATAGCATGATGTTTGGCTCACCGGTGCTGTTCTTTTTTGAAAACAGAGCTGCTTGGGTTTTCTGTGCGTTGAACTGTACAAGGTTTTTGTTACCCCAGTCCTCTATTATCTCCAGGTCGTTATTTATCTGCGATATTTGAGTTAGTCTAAGATGATGGAATTCACGTGCGGAAAGACCTGTGGGTGGTATGAGTGAGGAGACTACATTGCCATCGTCTGCAAAGCAATAAAGTGGATTTACTGTTTTATCTATGAGGTCATTTATGTAAATCAGAAAAAGAGTTGGCGAAAGGATTGCTCCCTGTGGCACACCAGCATTTATTTGGTAAGAGTTGGAGTTCTGGCCATCCAGTGCAACATAAATGGATCTGTCCTTTAGGTAACTTTCAAACCAAGTGCAAAGTTTCGGCGATAATCCCATTGCTTTGAGCTTGTTGAGCAGATTTTCATGCCAAACTTTGTCGAATGCTTTAGATATATCTAAGGCAATTGTTCTTGTTTCACCCCGCAACTCAATTGCTTTTTGCCATAAGTGAGTGACGTATGTAAGTAAATCGCCAGTTGACCTATATTTTCGAAATCCGTATTGCTTATCGTTGATAATTCTGTACTTTTCCAAGTACTTGGTTAGGTGATTGTTCACAACTCTTTCCATTACTTTTGATATCACCGGAAGTAAAGCAATTGGTCTATAGTTTAACGGATCTGTCTTTTTTCCTTTCTTTGGAATGGGTTGTACTGCGGCAGACTTCCATGATGATGGATATACTCCTTGCCTGTAAGACAAATTGAATAATTTTGCGAAAGTTGGGGTGAGTTCGTTGGCGCAATTTTTGAGTACTATTGCGGGAATGCCATCCGGACCCATTGCTTTGTTTGTATCTAGCTTTTTAAGGGATTTTCGTATTTCTCTGTGACAAAAGGGTACCTCTGGCATACTATGGGAAACCCTTTCAATGAACGGTGGAGTTTTTCCGTTTGGCACTGTTAGGTTGGAGTTGGAGGAAAACATTTGGGCCAGCATATTGGCTTTTTCCTCTGATGTTGTGGCTAAGTGATTGTTTTTATCTGTAAGTGGTGGTATGGATGACTTGGTGAAGTTAGATCCAACAGCTTTTGCAAGAGACCAAAAGGACCTAGAACTACTTGGACAATTCAGCAACCTGTTTTTTATTCTTTGATTGTATGTTTCTTTGGCGGAGTCAATAGTAATTTTGCAACTGTTTCTGGCTTCTATAAATTCTGTGTGGTTTTGAGCGGTTTGTTTTCGTTTCCAAAGGTTATATGCTCTGTGTTTTTTCTGTACAGCCGTTTGACACTGGCTGTTGAACCAAGGTTTTGCATTAGCTCTACGTTTAGTTGTATGTGGGATATATGCATCCATTCCAGATAAGATTACTTGTGTTATTTCATTACAGCAAATAGTGGGATCAGCTGTTTTAAAGCAAACCTCTTGCCATGGAAAATCCAGGTAAAACTGTTTTAGGTCATTCCATTTTGCCGATTTATAGTGCCACATTTTACGAGGAAGTGGTTGTTGGCTTGGTCGGATGAGCATTTCGCGCTTTGTTATTATAAGTTTATGATCGGACGAACCAAGTGGAGCATCTACTTGAATTGTGTACGAGTCAGGATTTGTGGTTAGGAACAAGTCTAAAAGCACTGCAAATTCGCCCCTTTCTGAGATACGGGTAGGTTCATCGACAAGCTGCGTTAGACCACAACTTATGGCAAAAGCTTCTGCTTCTCTGCCTTCGTTATCTGTTTTGTTGTGGTGTTTCAGCCAGGGTATATTGTGGACGTTGAAATCGCCTAAAAAGACCATTTCCGCCTGTGGATAGTTTGACTGTATACTATCACAGCGTTCGGATAATGTCGCGAAAAAGTTTTGGTACTCGGTGTTTGATGGCGGTCGGTAGAGGCAGCAGATAAACTTGGTCGATGACTTTGAGGTGAATTTTAGCCATATGATATCAAGGTTCGCTGGTTCTAGCTTCTCCTCTCGATGACATGAAAGGTCATTTTTAATGTACACACAGATCCCAAAATTATGTCGAAATCGGTGGTGTAGGTCATAGCCGGGATAAAGATAGTTCACAATAGGTGTTGCAGAACTGATTTTAGTTTCAGTGAGAACAAGGATGTCAGGTCTTTGTTCTTCAAGATGTTGGTGAACTGAATTCATATTTGTACTTATTCCTCTTATATTGCTAAAATCAATTCTGAGTTGAGTTTTTGATCTTCTCTTTATATCTTTGCATGAAGGACCCCCAGGATCACCCGACGCCCGGAGATCCGAGTGGTCGGGTATTTTACCTCCGGAATATTTTGATCCTGGAGGCGCCATCATGCTATCTGTTACTCATTGTTGGAACCGGACTGCCAGCGCAGTAGCGGAACGTGGTGATACCACTTAGCGCTACTCAATTCTGGCATGGTGGTATCTCACCGGTCGACGCCCAATGAGTAAAAAGCGTCTACCACCTACAATTGCAATTCCTCTTATCCCTATAATATGAAGCCTCTCCAGGAGGGCCGCATGCGCCACAGTGTCAAAGGCCTTGGTCAGATCCAAAAATACCCCAACAGCCTTCTTCCTTCTATCCAAGTTCTTTAAAATTTCTTCTGTGACCAAGCAGAATGCTTCCTCCATACTGGAATCTTTTAAAAGCAGGTTTTTTGACAGTAATTTATGCCTACCCAGAAACAATACAAGTTTATATTTAATACATTTTTCAACCAATTTGCTCATAGTGCTCACAAGTGGAATTGGCCTGTAGTTGGTAGTCAGTTCTTTGTTTCCTTGCTTATAAATAGGCACAATAGTCGTCCCTTTGAGGATATTCCTCCAGTACAAAAGACAGTGTTCATAATGTGCTTAAGGAGTTTTGAATGTTAGGTTTTATTAAAAGAGCTACTAGGGACTTTAAGAGTCTCATCAAAATTCTTTACACATTACTAGTCAGATACGTTCTTGGATTTTCAGCATAGTTTGGTGACCTGGTGACCGCTGTTTTTCGTTGGAAAGACATCGTACCTCTTATGGCCAACACACAACCATTAATCGGGCTATGTCTTATGCCAATGAGATACGGGTGGACATATTTGCTGCGTCTTTGCACCAAATGAAGCTATCACTGTGATATTATTTTGTAATCTAGTGATTTACTCTGTGATCTGTTTTTGGCTGTTTTTTGTTGTCCTTTCAATTTTTTAATTTAGAAATAATTTATTGTATGTACTCTTTTTGAAATTTTTATTTATATGTGGTTTGTTATTAGTATTAATATTATTATTAATATGGCAATATTTGTAAAATTGGGCTGCTGCCCGTTGGAAGTGGAAATTAAGTTAAATTAAATAGACCTTACTTATCAGATCCACATCAATAGGCTTGAGAGTGATCAACACAGATTTATCAAGTTTGCAAGGTACAAACTTTCTCCGAGTCGTGTAATTTTCAGTGATAACCGGATTATGGCTTACTTAAGCCTAACTACTCTTGTTCACAGAAGGGAATAATTTGATATCTGTTTTTGCTTTTGATATCCTTTCGGATATCCTTAACTACCACATAAAAACCCACGAATGGAGAGGAAGTAAATCTTTACAGCACTTTCCTTGCTGTCGAACTTGGAACTTACTATATTCAGACCTGTCAATAGAATAACTGCCAATGTATTCAAGTTCTATGAGCGAAAAAATTTTTAGTTTATCTCAAGATAAATTTAAGACAGAAGCCAAGATAATTGTTTTAGGCTAGATTATTTTCTATTTAAATTCTGTACAACTTCAAATGTATGTATTTTTTTTACATATAAATATATAGATAAATGTATCCATTCTATGGGAGAGGGTAGTCTTAGCCAACTACCCCTACCCCAACAAAATTAGAAGATTGTATCTATTCTTTTATTTCTAGGCCAATCAGACCAAAAAGAACCCATAAAAGTAATACCAAAAAAGCCAACTCGATTATTTCCAATACAACAGATGATTATTTGAGTGCTGCCAATCTAGATAGTTCGGATTTAGAATTTTATGACGTGACTGATGAGGAAAATACCGAACCTGAGAATGGCAGCCCTTCAGATTTAGATTTGGTAAGATATAATTTCTTTTTGAGCACATTTTTTGTAAAGAATTTTTTTAAATCATAGATTTTAAATCATCTGGATGTAAAACTCAACACGGGTACTATTGAAGACATAGAAGAGGCTTTGCATACATTAGAAGATCTTTGTTTAGAGAATCCTGGTAATTTTGAGTTGCTTTACAGGATAGGTAAAGCCCATCATAAAATTGCTGATGCCAGTGATGATAAAGATTTTGTCAATCTAAGATTAACCAAAGGTTACCTAAACAAACTGATTATAAACTTTTGTAAATCTATTGTGTTTTAGGTATTGAAGCTTGCGAATCAGCTTTATCCATAGCTCCAGAAAATTCTGAAGTCCACAAATGGTTTGCAGTATTGATAGGTAAATGACAAGCTCCACCTTGAGCGCATTCGGTCATTTTGAAATATATTTTTTTCAGGCAGCAAAAGTGACTTGGTGTCAATCCAGGAAAGAATCAAATATGGCCACACATTTAAAAAACACGTTGACATTGCCATTTCGATTAATCCTGGAGATTATTCTTTGCACCATATGCTTGGCAGGTTCGATTTTGAAGTAGCAGGATTAAAATGGTAGGTATCTACATTTTATATCCTAATAATATTATTATAATATAATTTGCCCATTATTTAGGTATGAAAAAAAAGTAGCTTCAGCATTTTTTGGGGAGCCTCCAACTGCTACTTATGAAGAAGCATGTTCACATCTTCTAGCAGCTGAAAAGCTAGCTCCCTTTGAATGGAAAGACAATAAATTGATGATAGCTAAATGTAAAATTGCAATGGGCGAATATGAAGAAGCTGTGGGGTGGCTAGAGAAGGCCATTAACAGTCATGGGACTAGTCTGGTGAGTGTCTTTGAATTATTTAATTAAAAATTTCCTTGATTGATCAATAATATTTTCCTATTTTAGGATGAAAAAGTGGACATTGAAATTAACACTTTATTAGAAAAATACAGATAGTTTATCTTCTAGTGTAATGATGTCAACTTTGGTAAAAATAATTTAAAAAAATCAAACAACTGTCTGGGACAGTTTTCCAACCTAGATTAACTTTGTTTTATACCTACATGTCTATGTAGAAAAATTGACTTCAATGTTTCAAATTTGATATTTTTTCACTTGCAATTTGTGGTGTTTGTTTTAGGTGTTTCTGTGGTGCAAATGTTTATTTTATTTTAGTAAAGACTGAACTGACTCTTAGCTGTAGTTATATAGTTAGGTTATGGTAGAAAATAAATTTATTTTTGCTCAAAATAAATTGTTCAAGTTTGAAATTATATGTATTTGTAACATGTTTTTAAATGTTAATTGTTTCTTGTTTTTTAACTGAAATATTCGCCTTGACATTTTATTAAATTTTTTAACACGTTCATTCCAATTTTAAAACTTTTATAATCAAGTATGGTTTTAAATAAATACTGTAAAATCAGTTTGAAATTGTTTTATTTCATTTTGTTGCCCTGAAATCAAACATTTAAGAATGTACCTATGTGTACATTTGAAAAGTCCTATTCAGATTAGAACAATAATTCTAAAATATTTGAAGATTTCTTACAACTTGCGCATTTTACACAAATTCTGTAAAGGCAACATCGTTATCTCATTCTTTATTTTAACAACGCCTTCGTGTACGTCAATTGAGAGAAGTTCTCCTGTTTGTTCTCGTTCTTCACCGATGATAACCTAAAAATAAAAAATAATTGAATGAATGCATTATTATTGTAGATATTTACCAAAATATAAATAATATTGATAATATGAGTTGAGAACAGAATTTAAAAGTTTAAATAATATTATTACCTTGAATTGGTCACCTCTCTGTGGCCTAACTGGATCAAGATGATCAGCTAAAATATTCACCACCCTGTCCTCATCGGGCAAAAACACTGAACACATTGCTCCAGATATGCTCCGGATTAAACCGTTTTGTCCCGCTAAACCTGTGTCATCATGACTGTCTCGTATTTTAACCTAAAGAAAATTGCAAGTGTTACACTTGTATATCGTGGAAAATCTCAAATTACCTCAATATCGACTGTATGCCAGTCAGTCATTGGTAATACGTCTAAGCCAGCGCCTGGTGTTTGAGGATTGTAGGGCCCTACAGGGCTGTAACCTGAACTTGGAGTGTTGTAGGGATTGTTACTTGCAGGAGATTGCCCATACCCTGAAATCATTTAAATTTGTACAAACAGCTGTAAGTTATTATCCGCAAATAATTTTCTTCAGAAATATAATATATATTTGGCATCACATGATGTTATTGCTCATGATGCTGGTATGTATGTTGAAACATCTAAGTCTATACTGAGGTATCTATACCCAGTACTTCTGGGGTCAAATTTTTTCAATTTAATTTTCACAGTATTATGTGGAATTGTAATGCAAATAAATCTACCACAATAAATACTTTTCAGAAATTATTCTAAAACATACCTGGATCGTGTATCCCAAAGGGACTCGCTTGAAAACACAAGAAAATTATACAAAATATAATTATTTACATCAGCAAAATCCAATTGCATTTATCAACAAATAATGGTTTTACCTGTAGCAGGAGAAGGAGTGGAAATTGCACTCTGATAACCATACGGACTGTAAGTAGACTCATATACACCTCCAGGAGTTTGAGGTGTGAAGGGCGCATTCATACCACCAGGAGTGCCTAGACAAAAATTTATTAACACATAACAGTGCATCATTCGACAAAAATTCTTACTTGGATTATATGCAGGTGAAGGATAAGTATTTGGTACACTAGGATCCCATTCCGAGTTAGCGTTCGGCGTCCTGGATCCATCATGAATAGGCGTCATAGAGCCATAATGCAATGGTGTTCTCGATCCAGAATCTGCCATTGGAGTTTTATTACCGATATCTCTGTACATCGGAGTCTGGCTTCCAGTGTAAGCTGGTGTACGGCCATAACTGGAAATGGATCCATCTTTTGTTGGAGTACCAACGTCTTGAATATGGTTGCGGTCCACAGAAATAGTCTGACAAGATGTGTGCAATTCAATTCTTGCAGTACTTGAAGTGGCATCCTTAACAATACCGATGTTGCCTTTATACGGGCCTCTAGTGATTTTGATGGTGGTTCCTATAATATCTCTATCACGGCTCACTCTGCCTCTACCACCGCCACCACCACGTGGCCCGCCACCAAAGCCTCCGCCCATAGATGGTGGTGCACCACCACTTGAGGGATGCAAAGGGGAACCTCTCCTCGGAGACATGTATTCGATTCCCGTTCCAAGATCGTTGTTGGCAATAATTTTATTGCCACCGGCCAATTGCAAATGTTTAGTTTTGCAAACGAATATTCCACCGTTTTGCAGAAACTCTACAGAGTAAAGAAATGCAAAGTTGCGATAGAGGTGTTTGATTTCACCTGAGAAACCTGAATGAGGACCATCTATAACCTAGAGGAAAAATTATTTTTATTTACTTTATTGATTATGGCATTGTGTTATTATTACCTTCACCATATCTCGCCTATGTAAACTGTTCTTATATGAATCCAAAGCAGCTGTAAACCTATTTATTCGACGTTTCTGCAAAGAACTTGGCCTAGACTCCACCACTTTGCCTGGAAACAGAAAAGCAACGTTCATGTACTACATAAATCCAACAGGCTGAAAATTTCTCACCATGCATGTTTAAAACATGAAAGTTTTCCCTTTCCAATCTCACAATAACGCCCACAGTTTCTGCGTCTAGATTAACCAAATCGCCCCATTCGAATTTCCCCAAAGAGTCCACTCCACTAGCCATGTCACTGCACAGTTGCAAATCTTTGGGCAAAATTTCCATTTCATGCATTGTCAAGTCAGATATTAGAACTACGCGGTTGTTTTCAACTCTGACAACCAGACCAGTGTCCCCTTCGTAACGACCTGAAATAAAGTTAATATTCATTCACTAAATACCGAGCTCTATAAACAAATCAAACTAATAAATATAAAAACACTTACCTGACAAAACTTTAACATGGTCTCCCATTTTGAAATATTTTTTCAATTCATTCGCTTGGAAAACCAAAGGATCTTTCAAATCTTCATGTTTGGGCAATATAGTGATCATTGACCCGTCAATACTAAAAAAATATATCAATAAAATAGTATCTTCTATTTTACCTTCCAAGTAACTTTCTTACCTCATAATTTTACCCTGCAAATTAATCAATTCACCTTCACACACTTCCACGTTATCTCCAGCACTAAAAGAGTGAGTTACAGTTTTATCTTCTTTTTCTGCTGGCAACTCCAAATCAATACCTATAAAAAAAATCTTCAATATTCAAAAAATATTTTATTTGAATGTTGAATTCACCTTCTGGTTGTTCTTCAAACCTTTCCAATTCAGCTAAAGTAGGCTTCACTCCATCAACTATAACAGCACTTAGAGTAAAGTTTTTATATAAAAATCCTTTTCTAGAATATCTGTTGCCTTCAAATATTAAAAAATCACCATCGGATGTCACTTCTCCACCAATGGCTCTAATTGCTTCAGGATCGAAAGGTTTTGCAGCAGCACGACGTTTCTTCTTTCTTTTTTCAGCTTCAGAGTCGGATTGGGTGGTTCTTAAAGCACCTCTTAGCTTAGTATAGTCAATCCTTGGCAATATCTTTAAATGTACTTGATTTTGGGCCATATCGAAATAATCCACTTGCGCTATATCATCCTTATATAAACCTCTCTTAAGTCTAACCCATTGTTTAGATTTTAGGCCAGTTTGCTCTTTGACGACTCTCAAAACATCAGTCATTTCTTTTATGGGTACCATTTGTTGCTTCCAAATACCTATCCTCAAGCTTCCTACACTTTCAATTGCAGCTTTAACATGAGGTTGTTTATAAGCTTCAATATAAATGTAACCTTTAACTCCTTCAGGGGCTACAACTGATTTTATTTGTAAAGCGTTATTGGTACTTTGGTAAGATAAAAATTTGCGCATAAGCAACAAACATGTTGACTTTTCTTCTCCGCTTCGACATTTTATCATCCATAAATTGGGGTCTTTGACACCTGGCAATAATGTCTGCTGGGTAATTTCGTCTGACATTTCCTCTCCACCATCACCGAAAAGTTTGGAGGCTGCTCCATCTTCCGCATACTTTTTACGTAAATATTCTTCAATTTCATGTTCTTTTTGAGCGTCCCACAAATTCGTGCCTCGTCTTCTGCCTTCAATTTCTCTCGCAGTAGGTCCAAATTCGTCTAATTCATTGGAAACGATGCCGATTTCTTGGGCTCCATCTTCCCAATCTTCTTCATCTTCCACTTCGTCATCAACCTCGGCCTCGTCAATAATGAAACCACCATATCTGTCCTTCTTCTTTCTTTTCTTGGATCTTCCACCTTCGTCACTGTCATCCTCCTCTGAATCATATTCTTCACTATCTCTTAGACTATGTCCGTCAGGTTCTTCTTCTTCTTGAACTTCTTCAGGTTCTGAAGCTTCTCTAGCTTCAGATCTAAGTAAAAGATATCATTTTTAAATGTATGTTTGTAGGTCATCTAAGTGACAAGGTATACCTATATAAATAAATAGATTATGGGAATCGTGACTGACTAGTATAGAACACAAACTAGTGAAAATTTTCAAGATTGAAAATCCTCTTTGTGGGGTTGCAGTCAAATCTTTTGGACCAGGGACAAAAATTATATAAATAAATGTTTCATCAAAGATGTAAAAGATTCAACAATGACTAACAGAAGGCACTGATCCAGTTTCAGCAAACTCAATAATTATAATTAGGTATTAAGTAGCGAACCAGTTTCTATAGAATTTTAACAAGATTTCAAACACTGGTACCTACCAAGAATATTCATATACTTATTTCTTAGGAAGTCCAATTACCCGAGCAATTACCTTTATATAACAGAATAAGAGAATGAAAAAAAAGGCAACACAGTAGGTATTCCCTTTGAGATTGTGTTTAGAAAAACTTTCCTTCAATTTTTATTATGTAATTCAACGCCTGTTTATTAAACTTTTTAAAAGGGTAGTTCCTATTCTTAATTTCCCCCAGTCTGGAGTCTGGCAACAAATTATAGAACTTCTTCACAGTTTTTTAAAAAAGATACAACTCTAGGGTTTTTATAGTTTCCTAGGGTGGTATATATATCAAGATTTGCAAAAACATACTTCACACCTGGTCTGTATTTCACTCGGTATTTCAAAGTCAAAGTCAAAGTCAAAAAATGCTTTATTGTCTAAGAACAAAATTCTCGTTGACAAAGCTGTAAAAGGGAAAAAAAAACATTATACAAAAATAATTCCAGGGCCATAGAGTACCAAGATTGAAATAATCAAAATAAAAATACAATACAAGGTCAGACCAAAACAATAAAATCATTTAAACAGTCATTAAAACAAAAGATTCATCCTCACAATCACTATCTGTACTACTACTTACCCCAAAGTGATTTTTTGACGTTTTGTACTAAACAGAAACCCGAGCAGAAACCTAATCTTTCCTTGAGACATTTTTCAAAAATCTTTCCAAGGTCCAAATACATGAATGAACCAAATGTATTAGGTTAATTCAGGGGTAAATTATTGCTTTTCAAGTTCCATAAGTGAGTTTTAGTAGTTTTATGAAATTTAGCAATGGAACCAGGGAATTTACTGATTCAGGTAGTGTGTTGTGAACTGTTGCCACTTGATAGATATCACTATACACTACAGACCGTTATTTGTTTGTAAATATGGATTCAAGTATATGTTTAGATCGAATCAAAGTGAATAAAATTTCTTGAAAGAATATGATATTATGAGAAATAGAATTCTTCGTCTTGACCACTGCCACTGGAGATCTCTTAGTGGAACTTTGATATGTTTATAAAGTTAAAATTCTACACAAACTTTCTGGGAATTGGTACCATTATAAAAAGATCAAAACAATTCATAAGGTTAATTTTTTATTAAAAAAATGGGATCCTTGTTGCAGAAGAATGAAAATCTGTATAAATGCTGTGCACCTGACTACCTGACATAATTTATCATTGACTGTTCAGTTCATAAGTAAACAAGTTAGTCACTTTATAATTTAACACTTTAGATTAGTTTTGATTTATGAAGCAAAATCAGGTAAGAAACTTTTCAAAGATTAGGAAAAATTCCAGAGCTCATCTATTAACGATTATGGGTAGGTATACAGAATATGAGTCAATATAAATATACATGCAAACAAAATGGACACATCATCAAAACCCAGGATGATATGAGTAGCCCATGCAATTATCACCTGCAAACTGAAAAACTTCTAATGCACAAGCTGAATAAGGATTTATATGTGTCAAATATGGGAAAATCTATTTTGCTGATCAGCAAATTGCTGATAATGCAGTTTTTGGCTGGATAAGCAATTTAATCGAATCAATCAGTTTGTAAAGTTGCGGTCAGTTAGTAGAAGTGATGTGAGCCATGCAAACAATTGCCGCCTCCGTCCGCATCTATTGCCACCCCCAGTATAAAAAATACGCCTGATGTATTGAATTTTTAATCCGATTTGATGCGGTCACTCAGAAAGGGTGCTGTCAACATCAAAAATGATATTTAGGAGATGACCGCCCCCGACCGCCGCCGTTGCCGCCCCCCAGAATTAAAAATACGCCTGATGTATTGAACTTTCAATCCGATTTGATGCGGTCACTTAGGATGTGTGCTGTCAACATCGAAAATCATATGTAGAAAATGACCGCCGCCGACCGCAGCCGTTGCCGCCCCCCAAAATCAAAAAAAACGCCTGATGTATTGAATTTTTGATCCGATTTGATGCGGTCACTCAGAAAGGGTGTTGTCAACATCAAAAATGATATTTAGAAGATGACCGCCCCTGACCCCCGCCGTTGCCGCCCCCCAGAATTAAAAATACGCCTGATGTATTGAACTTTCAAGCCGATTTGACGCGGTCACTTAGGATGGTTGCTGTTAACATCAAAAATGATATTTGGAGATGACCGCCCCCGACCGCCGCCGTTGCCGCCCCCAGAATTGAAAATACGCTTGATGTATTGAACTTTCAAGCCGATTTGATGCGGCACTTAGGATGGGTGCTGTCAACATCAAAAATGATAGTAGAAGATGACCGCCGCTGTTGCCGCCCCCCAGAATTAAAAATACGCTTGATGTATTAAACTTTCAAGCCGATTTGGTGCGGTCACTTAGGATGGGTGCTGTCAACATCAAAAATCATATGTAGAAGTTGACTGCCCCCGACCGTAGCCATTTCCGCCCCCAAAATCAAAATTTCGCCTGATGTATTGAATTTTTAATCCGATTTGATGCGGTCAATTAGGATGGGTGCTGTCAAAATCAAAAATGATATGTAAAAGATAACCGCCGCCGACCGCAGCCGTTGCCGCCCTCCAGAATCAAAAAAACGCCTGATGTATTGAACTTTTAATCCGATTTGATGCGGTCACTTAGGATGGGTGCTGTCAACATCGAAAATCATATGTAGAAGTTGACCGCCCCCGACCGCAGTCGTTGCCGCCCCCCGAATCAGAATTACGCCTAATGTATTGAATTTTCAATCCGATTTGATGCGGGTTCTTAGTAAGGGTGCTATGTGTGATATACGTGTGTTTTTTGTAATTATTGTAGGTGGCAACCAACCTTTATACATAGCTTTGTCAACTGACAAGTAGTACTTGTTATGTCAGTTGGGTAGTCATAAAATTGCAAGTTGTCAATCATAGCCCCTTGTGTTAAGATGTATTTTCTAATCTGTTATTAAAGTTATATAAGTAATTTTGATTCTGGGGCGGCAACGACTGCGGTCGGGGGTGGTCAACTTCTACATATGATTTTCGATGTTGACAGCACCCATCCTAAGTGACCGCATCAAATCGGATTGAAAGATCAATACATCAAGCACATTTTTAATTCTGGGGGGCGGCAACAACGGGGGTCGGGGGCGGTCATCTTCTAAACATCATTTTTGATGTTGACAGCACCCTTTCTGAGTGACCGCATCAAATCGGATTAAAAATTCAATACATCAGGCGTTTTTTTGATTCTGGGAGGCGGCAACGGCTGCGGTCGGCGGCGGTCATTTTCTACATATGATTTTCGATGTTGACAGCACCCATCCTAAGTGACCGCACCAAATCGGATTGAAAGTTCAATACATCAGGCGTGTATTTAATTCTGGGGGGCGGAAACGGCGGCGCCGGCGGTCGGGGGCGGTCATCTTCTAAATATCATTTTTGATGTTGACAGCACCCTTTCTGAGTGACCGAATCAAATCGGATTAAAAATTCAATACATCAGGCGTTTTTTTGATTCTGGGGGGCGGCAACGGCTGCGGTCGGCGGCGGTCATTTTCTACATATGATTTTCGATATTGACAGCACCCATCCTAAGTGACCGCATCAAATCGGATTGAAAGTTCAATACATCAGGCGTGTTTTTAATTCTGGGGGGCGGCAACGGCGGGGGTCAGGGGCGGTCATCTTCTAAATATCATTTTTGATCTTGACAACACCCTTTCTGAGTGACCGCATCAAATCGGATCAAAAATTCAATACATCAGGCGTTTTTTTGATTTTGGGGGGCGGCAACGGCTGCGGTCGGCGGCGGTCATTTTCTACCTATCATTTTTGATTTTGACAGCACCCATCCTATTTGACTGCATCAAATCAGATTAAAAATTCAATACTTCAGGCGTAATTTTGATTCTGGGGGCGGTATTGACTGCGGTCGGGGGCGGTCAACTTCTACATATGATTTTCGATGTTGACAGCACCCATCCTAAGTGACCGCACCAAATCGGATTGAAAGTTCAATACATCAGGCGTGTATTTAATTCTGGGGGGCGGAAACGGCGGCGCCGGCGGTCGGGGGCGGTCATCTTCTAAATATCATTTTTGATGTTGACAGCACCCTTTCTGAGTGACCGCATCAAATCGGATTAAAAATTCAATACATCAGGCGTTTTTTTGATTCTGGGGGGCGGCAACGGCTGCGGTCGGCGGCGGTCATTTTCTACATATGATTTTCGATATTGACAGCACCCATCCTAAGTGACCGCATCAAATCGGATTGAAAGTTCAATACATCAGGCGTGTTTTTAATTCTGGGGGGCGGCAACGGCGGGGGTCAGGGGCGGTCATCTTCTAAATATCATTTTTGATCTTGACAACACCCTTTCTGAGTGACCGCATCAAATCGGATCAAAAATTCAATACATCAGGCGTTTTTTTGATTTTGGGGGGCAGCAACGGCTGCGGTCGGCGGCGGTCATTTTCTACCTATCATTTTTGATTTTGACAGCACCCATCCTATTTGACTGCATCAAATCAGATTAAAAATTCAATACTTCAGGCGTAATTTTGATTCTGGGGGCGGTATTGACTGCGGTCGGGGGCGGTCAACTTCTACATATGATTTTCGATGTTGACAGCACCCATCCTAAGTGACCGCATCAGATCCCTGCCTATATTTATAAAGGATTGGCTGAGTTCATAGCTCTACCGCTCAAACATATTTTCAATCTTTCTATTGGAAGTGGACAATTTCCTGATGCCTTGAAGAATGCTCAGATTACACCTATTTTCAAGAAAAGACGAAAGGACGAAATTAGGAACTATAGACCGATTTGCCTCATTAATATTTTAGCAAAAATTTTTGAAACAATACTTTATGATGATCTTTCAGACTTTCTAAAACCTAAAATTTCTAAATACCAGCATGGATTCTTAAATGATAAGTCAACAATAACAAACCTCTCTATATTCTCGGAAATGGCGGCTGAGGCGATCGCGAATAAGAGCCAGTTGGACGTCATTTACACAGATTGTGAGAAGGCTTTTGACAGGGTGGACCATGAGTTGCTGCTTTGCAAGCTTGCTGAGTTTGGGGTGTCAGAGGATGCTTACCATCTTGTGAGGTCATACCTAATAGGCAGGGTCCAGACAGTGAGGGTCGGCGCTTGCAACTCTGAGGCGTTTGTTGCAACCTCAGGTGTCCCGCAGGGTAGTAAACTGGGCCCTCTTTTCTTTTTGTGTTTCATCAATTCATTGCCTGACTGCCTGAGGGACTCTATGGGACTTCTCTTTGCTGATGACTTCAAGCTCTGTAGGATTGTTGAGCGGCAGGAGGACTGCAGAAGGCTTCAGGGTGACATGGATAGGGTGATGGACTGGTTCAACAACAACAGAATGTCCCTAAATGTTAATAAGTGTTCTGTTGTCAGCTTTACGAGACGAACAAACCCAATAGAAGAAACATACAAGATTGGTGATACTGAGCTTGATCGTCAAACAGAGGTGAAGGATTTGGGTGTCTTTTTCCAGGCCAACATGAAGTTCAATAAGCATTTTCATCATGCTGTCAATAAAGCAGTAAAAGCACTTGGCTTTGTAATCAGGAATAGTAAGAACTTTAAAATAAGTACAATTATTAACTTGTATAATGCTCTGGTGAGACCACACCTTGAATATGCATCACACATTTGGATGCCATTGGAAGCCACGCATATTAATGAAATTGAAAAAGTGCAGAAGAGATTTTTGCGGTATCTCTATGTGGTTAAAAATAATATTTACCCATATATGGTTCCTTACAGGGATATGCTTGTTAGTTTTGAGATAAAGTCATTAGTGGAAAGAAGGAATAATCAGGCTGTGATATTTTTGTTTTATATTTTAAACAACCTAAAGTATAAGGATTGTAATTTAATTAACTATGTCTCCTTAATTGTACCAAAGATTAACTTAAGAATTATGAAAAACAAGAAATACTTTGGTACTGATCCTAGTAATAATATGTCACCATTTAATCGCATGATGACAGTTGCGAACCAAGCACTTAATGAGGTCCAGGTAGATCTTTTTAATGTAACTTTCAATCAATTGAAGGCCCTTTTAAATTAGTCATATATGTTTATATTGTGTACTCTATCTTTATTTCTGTGTTTTACACTTCGCTGTTTTAACTTTACATGTAATTACTATTTTTGGTGTTTGTAAAGTAATGAAATAAATAAATAAATAAATAAATAAATAAATAAAATCGGATTGAAAGTTCAACACATCAGGCGTATTTTAAATTCTGGGGGGCGGCAACGGCGGCGGTCGGGGGCGGTTATCTTCTAAATATCATTTTTGATGTTGACAGCACCCTTTCTGAGTGATCGCATCAAATCGGATTCAAAATTCAATACATCAGGCGTATTTTCTATACTGGGGGCGGCAATGGATGCGGTCGGAGGCGGCAATTGTTGCAATTTGCTGATCAGCAAAATAGGTACACCCGTCAAATATATATACGGTAACTGAAATTCTCACTCACCCAGATCTTCTTGATCCACTTCTACTTCTACCCTGGCTCTTACTCCTACTTCTCGATCTACTTCTAGAAACACTCCTAGACCTAGATCTTATACTTCCACTTCGGGATCTAGACCTTGATTTGGATCTGCTTGGTGATCTGGACCTAGATGCTGATCGGCTCTGTCTTGACCTAACACTGCCTCTGGAACTCCTACTCCTGGATCTGACCGATCCTGCATCCGAATACCGACTGCCTTCTGAGTCTGACATTGTGATGTGAAGTTTATAGGAACCTAAAAGGTAAATACAATCTACATTGGTGTACTTGGAAAGGTTAATCAGAATACAAATTCAAGGAAATTACTGAGACAAGCATTTCACTACAGGTGGGTTATAATTCGGTATTGTGGGACAATTTCGATTACATATTCAGAGAATTATGAATAGGGATATCGTATTACTGAAGCGTTATCTTACCAGAACTCGACAAGAATTACAAATCAATTAAAAAACACCACAAAAATCATGTTAAAGCCTATTTTAAACTGGTTTTAAATATTTTAAATTAATAAATAAATTTTTATCAAAGCCAAACAACACACGGTACGCTATGGTGACAAAACTGTCAGATGACAGATAATTGGTTGAGGTTGCTAAAGACGATTTCGCCACGTTTTGGTAACCCACTGTGGTTGGTCAAAAATGTACCAACCAATTTCGGCACGAAAAACAATGACGTCACGATAACTTTGGTATCTATTTTGGTATGTCAAATTGGGTACCGAGCTTGGAGCACGGTTATTTGAATTGGTAGCTTGCTATCTCTCTCTTCTGTTTTGGAGTAATTTAACCTCACTTTTTTGTTTATATTTGAAATTATACACAACAAATAAACACAATTAATTTTCACTATTCCCAATTTTAATTTCCAACAATAAAAAGTATTCAGTAGTTTGTTTATTTTTATTTTCTCAGGCATACCATCACCACACGTCATACACGTGACATTTGACAAACCGGCCGATTTCGGCTGAAAGTGGTATGCGACGTCACTGGCGTGACGAAGAGCCTACCTAGCAGTTAACCAATTTACCTACCAACCAAAACGTGGCGAAATCGTCTCAAATGTTTCCAAATGGGATGCATTCGATCAAGGATGATACACACCTACAGGATTGCTTATCGGCCTCGTTTTCGGTAATCGCCGCCATATAAGTTATATTCCTTTCACACCTAGGAAGAGCTCCGGAACAGCTCCGGGACGTTACGCGCTTATTCCTTTCGAAAAGGTGTTTGTTGCACCTGAGTGCTCAAGCCCGACTCAAACCATTTAAATGCATGAAAGCCAGCACATCTGTTCCTTTCAAATCGGGGTCGACTAACACCGGAGCGAGTAGCTCTAGTGTTTCAAGCTCTTGAAAGGAATACAACTATTGGTGTGTCACCATTTCTGACGTCATAACTAAGTCGTCAGCTGTTAAAACAGCCTACATCAAGGCGATAAATAACATGCTGGCACAACGTGATTTGTTGTGGGGGGGAGTATGGGGGATTTGTTACACTTTCAAGGCCTTTTAAGGATAGGCCATCCTGTATTGCATCCTGAAGTAGTAGTGTGTATCATCCTTGGCATTCGATAGCAGGCTGGTATAGGTGGGTTCGGCTTGCTCACTCCGTGTACTCCGAGTGACTACATTCGCACTCCAGCCGTTCGGGTATTGCTTTTTGGCGTATTTGGGGTGCCTCCATCAGCGTTCCACTATACAGAGTGGAGTAAATAGAGTTCACTCCAAAAGTTCCACCTCGGAAAGATAATTTATAAAAATCCTTTATGTGTGAATGCGGGAATTGATAAAATCATCTGGTAAAATAATTGATCTGATTTTTGAATTTATTAAACATGATGGGAAAAATTTCCTTGACAAAGTTATAAAGGGGTAAAAGCTCAGATTAACACATGAAATAGATAGGTTCATTATGATTAAAAAATGCCCCAAACATTGACTTACATTCTAAAGGTACGGTTTGTTAGGAGAGTACGCGTCGCACAACTGACAACGTAAACGGCGTCATTGGTTCAGGTATGACCATAGGTATGACGTACACCCGTTTTCTCACGTCAGAAGACGGGTGTACGTCATACCTGAACCAATGACGACGTTTACGTTGTCAGTTGTGCGTCGCGTAGTATCCTAACCAATGAACTATAGCTAAAAATTGGAATGCGAACACATTGCCATATCTGCCAAAAAAATGAAGCCATGAAAGACAGATGCCACAAGGGGGAATGTTGTTTTTTTCTGTTGCTCGCTGACATATGACGTTTTCGAAAGTTTTGTCATATTTACCTTCACAGGTTTCATCAATTGGAATACGTGTTGGAAGCAATTTTCGCCATTTAACATAATGAGTGCGACAAAAACAGGTATCCCCTCCGCAGCAGCCGCACTAGGCTTCAAGTTCGTCCTTATGTATTAGCATTCCAGTTTTTGGTTATAGTTCATTGATCCTAACAAACCGTACCTGAAGATCACTTGCGGACACTTACTGCAGATGTGCCATATTTATAAATTGTCCTAAGTTGCAGGGAAAATGGAATTGGAAATTGAAAAAAATATATCGTAAATATAAAAACCTATAGGTACCTATATGTATAAACAATTATAACATAAAATATCGCGGTGCTTTCCAAAATTGAATAGGAATAATTATTATATAAAATAATAATCTATTATCACGATAAAATTTGAATAAGAATTTGTGCTAGCTGAAAATGGCAACACTGCCTAAAATCTCAGAACCTGGTCTAGGAACGCCCACCTGAATCGTTTTATCTTTGTTAAGATAACCAGATAAAGAAGGATGCAAATATTGCCAGAGCAAGCCCGACCATAATCGCGATTGCGCTCTAGTATTTATAGTAAAGGTACGGTTTGTTAGGAAAGTACGTGACGCACAACTGACAACGTAAACGTCGTCATTGGTTCAGGTATGACGTACACCCGCCTTCTGACGTGAGAAAACGGGTGTACGTCATACCTATGGTCATACCTGAACCAATGACGATGTTTACGTTGTCAGTTGTGCGACGCGTACCCTCCTAACAAACCGTACCTTAAGAAATGTCAAACGGGTTTTGTTTGTAATTGGTCCGCATTGTCCGCAATCTTATCCCCACTCCATGTAGTTCATTCATTAATCCACTATTGTCGTTAGGATTGTTGGCCGCAGAAACCAAACGATTTTATGAATGACTTGCCCTCTCTATTTATGTAGTGTACTCTGAGGGTAAAAGCTTCATATTATTCTATTGTGGAGAAAATGAAGTAAATTTATAGTACATGAAAGACCAAAGACAAAAGTGAAAAAAAATTTGGAAACTGGAACGTAGTCACGGATCACGGTTGAATGTTGTTTTGAAACAAAGCAAATCAACAGTTTGACATTTTTGCTCCGACCGTTCCGGTCGTTCGTGTATTAATTTTCCATTCTAATTACTCCTAGATCACGTGACAAAAATCTGTTCTTACTCCAATCCAATTCCGTGCTGATTAGCCGAACCCAACTTGTGGTATAAAAACACACTATAGCTTATTTTTTCTCAAGATAGATTTTGGCATTGTCAAATTTGAAACATAAATAATGCCGCTAATGCCGCTTATTGATCGCTAATGTAAAGCTGATGTCAACCTGCAGAAACACCTCATTTTGCGACCAGTCAGGGTCAAGCGTTAAGCCAGGCGCAAACCAGAGCGGCGGCGGTGGCGGGCGCGGTTGCGGTGGCGGTGACAGAGCGAACTAGATGTCCGCAAACCAACGCGTTTTTACCGCGACAAATTTTAGTACTTTCTGTATTTTCATTTTTGCTTCTGGATCAAGATTGGTTGCAGTTTGCTCTACTGGCATATTTTGTTGAACTGTTTTTTTTTTTTTTTTCATTCCTATTAATCTTTCTTCTACCAAGTGCTACGTGACTTAACTTGACTGTTCCATGAAGAATGTTTGCACTTCGCTGTACTGATGCTGATCGCGCGAACTAGGCGGAAAAATGATGCAGACGGCTGGCTTTATTGTTTATGTTTCAAAGTTTTCAATGTCAATAAAATCTATATTGGGAAAAAATAAAGTGTATACTTTATTTTTTCCCAAGATAGATTTTGACATTGAAAACTTTGAAACATAAACAATAACGCTTGACCCTAATTGGTCGCAAAATCAGGTGTTTCTGCAGGTTGACATCAGTTTTACAATAGCGACCAATAAGCGGCATTAGTGGCATTTTTTATGTTTCAAAATTGACAATGCCAAAATCTAGCTTGGAAAAAAATAAAGTATAGTTGTATTCTTTTCACACCTATGAGGAGTTCCGGAACAGCTCTGGGGCTTCACCCGCTTAAAGCCTAGTACTCATAACTGCGAAATTCGCACTTTTTTGACATTGCTTCGACAATTTGACGTTTGATTCACGCATAAAACGTCAATTTGTCGAAGAAATGTCAAAAAAGTACGAATTTCGCAGTAACGAGTACTAGGCTTATACCTTTCGAAAAGTGTTTGTTGCACCACGCATCTGTTCCCTGTAAATCGGAGGCGACTGAACACCGGAGCGAGTAGCTCAAGTGTTTCAAACTCTTGAAAGGAATACAACTAATGTTACCGTACCCGTACCGGAAGTTGGCATACAAATTTCCGATCCGAACAATTAATTAAATCCGGTTATCAATTATGAAATTTAGAAAAATACGCCAAAACGTAAAACACAAACAACAGTGTTGACGTCAAAGGCCAGTATTCCAGTTTGCACGTCTCGAACTTATGTTCTTGGTAAATCCGTTGAACCGAACCGGTAGTACCAGTTCAGATTCGAGTTGATCCATACTGATAGGGCATTCGTCCGAGGCTCGAGGACACAGATTCCAACGAACTGTCAAAAATGGCGGTTGTCAAAAGTTAAGTTAGGGCAGGCATAGGCAAATGTTAAAGTGCGCAAAAATATTGGTAAAATGGGTAAAATGCCGGCATTTTGTTGTCGTAGTAAAATGAAGTAGTAGGGAAGAACGCGACAACGTTAAATTTTATAAAATACCATCGGAACTGAATTGAAAACATCCTGATAGAAGCTGAGTTCGGCTATTCAGCCAACACTTCATCACGGTATTGGAATGGAGTAAGAACAGTTTGTTGTCACGTGATCTAGGAGTGATTAGAGTGGAAAATTAATACACGAACGACCGGGAACGTTTGGAGCAAAAATGTCAAACAGCTGACTGTTTAACTTTGTCAAGGAATTTTTTCCATCGTTTAATACATTTTAAATTCAGATCAATTATTTTACTCGATGATTTTACCAATTCCCACATCCACAAGGTGTTAAATTGTACTTTTTTTTGCTTCAATCTGCTTTTCTTGCTCCAAGCAGATTGAAGCAAATCTCAGCAGCGGATCGGAGTTCACTTCACCCATATACAGTGTGATTTTTTTAGTGTGCAACATATGGGGATTTTTTTTAGTAATATCACAACCCGAATACAAACAAGACCAAAAGTTGGTGCATGTCTAATAATCATAATAGTTGTATTCCTTTCACACCTAGGAGGAGCTCCGGAACAGCTCCGGGGCTTCACGCGCTTATTCCTTTCGAAAAGTTTTTGTTGCACCACGCATATGTTCCCTGCAAATCGGGGGCTACTAAACACTGGAGCGAGTAGCTCGAGTGTTTCAAACTCTTGAAAGGAATACAACTATTAGGTGCACTTAGAATGGTTGCAAGTCAAACAGCACATAGGGTAGCTCAAACAATATCAAAGCTGTACTGTAAAGTACCCTTATTTTATAAAATTCAGCAAAATGTTATAGTCCAGGAGGTGGCGCCAAAAACATGCAAGAGTTTTCGCAAGGCGGATATTTTCAAAATAGGTCGTACTTTAGTTCTAGAATGCTAGTGTACAGTCAGCACTCACAGTTCCGGGACAGCTGGCTTTGGGACGCGGGCAAAGTTGTAATTTTAAGAAGCATTCAAACTGTTTTCTCAAAGCTCAAAATTTATAGAAATTTTGCACATTATCTGTTTGAAGGTCACAGATAACGTATGTAAATCTTCAGACGTCTAGTTCGTTGCAAAAAGGGGGTCAGACGTCCTCAAAGTTTCTATTTTATGGCATTTTCTTCAAATATATTTGTCAAATACCTGCAAAAATATATTTTGACAGGACACCGAAGAAAATGCCATAAAATAAAAACTTTGAGGACGTCTGACCCCCTTTTTGCAACGAACTAGACGTCTGACGATTTACATACGTTATCTGTGACCTTCAAACAGATAATGTGCAAAATTTCTATAAATTTTGAGCTTTGAGAAAACAGTTTAGATGCTTCTTAAAATTACAACTTTGCCCGCGTCCCAGAGCCAGCTGTCCCGGAACTGTGAGTGCTGACTGTGCACTAGCATTCTAGCACTAAAGTACGACCTATTTTGAAAATATCCGCCTTGCGAAAACTCTTGCATGTTTTTGACGCCAGCTCCCCAACTATTATAGAGAAAAGTTGTTTGGAATTAAAAGTTATGCCTAAGTACCCGAACATAGCCTCCTAAAAAAAAAATTATTTTTTTTCGAAAAAAATCTATAATTTCGATTTTTTTTTTATTTTTTATTTCCGCCCTTGATACTTTCAGAAATTAATTAAAATAAAATTAATTTTACATAACTTTGTTCAAATTCAAGCATATTTGTAAAATTAACTTAGATTTTTAATTCTTTATGGAATCCCAAAATTCATGTTTGTTGCAATGATATTCAACACAACTTTAAAATGTCGCAATTTTTTTTTAACAAGTTAAAACATTACTTATGATAATAGCCATATTAAAAGAACTCTCCTTAAAGTGCAAAAGTTTTATTTTATTCAAGTAAATATTACTACAATTTTAATATTTTCTGAGCTACCCTGTATGCTGTTTGACTTGCAACCATTCTAAGTGCACCTAATATGATTATTAGACATGCACCAACTTTTGGCCTTGTTTGCATTTTGATTGTGCTGTTGCTAAAAAAAAACCCATATGTTGCACACTTAAGTAATGACACTGTATAAGCTCATAAATAGCAGCTCCTAGCAGATCTTATTGATTTTTTAAGCAGGCAAAGCAAGTACAAATGAACAGCCTATATGATTATCCTTGACATTTACCGCAACGCCCCAATACTTTTAGAAATAGCACGCCCAGAGTGCACTCCAAGTGATGACGTCAGAACACTCTGAGAAACACAGATTACTGAGAAACAACTACTCTACTATCACACTCCATTTTTAAACGCACTCAAGCTGAACTCGAAGGCAACTTTCAACTGCGGACTGCTTTGAAAAAACTTGTAGTATTATGTAGCTATCGCTGGTTGGCGCCTATATGAGAATATCTTACTTGCGTATGACGCTTTGCATCGCGGCGTCAGATCGCGTCACCAAGTTGAGTGTAGCCCAAATGAGAATCGATCTTTTTTACTGGGAACCTTGCCGTTTGCCGCACACCCAAGAAAATCGCCTCACACCCAAGTTATCGAGCGCGCCAAAAGCCGGTTTTCAGCTGACGTGTTTGTACTTCACAACACAGTGCTCTGGGCCGAGATTCTAAAATCACGATTCGACACGCGACTCGACAACGATACCGGTTTTGTCGTCTCGAAAGGTATAATTCCAATGAGATTTCTAAATTCTAACCTAGAATCGTCGGAAAAATCGTCTCGCTGTCGAGTCGTATGTCGAATCGTGATTTTAGAATCCCCGACCTGTGTGTGAAACGCAAAAGTTAGCAACTCTCGAAGCGCAGTAACGGCTGGAACACGAACACGCGCTTGAAGCATTTGCGCGCGCAAAAGTCCGATTGCGTGCTGAAAATGGTCAGAAAGCGGCTAATAGTTGTATTCCTTTCAAGAGCTTGAAACAGTCGAGCTACTCGCTTCGGTGCTTAGTCGCCCCCGATTTGCAGGGAACATATGCGTGGTGCAACAAACACTTTTCGAAAGGAATAAGCGCGTGAAGCCCCGGAGCTGTTCCGGAGCTTCTCCTAGGTGTGAAAGGAATACAACTAATATGACACTGATTGTCAGTATGTCTTGCCTTGACGGCCAGACACTCATTTCTCAATCCTCATATCTCATTCCAATCATTCCTCACCTCATCATAACAAGAAAAGAACAAGTAACAACAAAGAATAAGTAGAAATGGCTGCTGTTTCTGATATTTTTTCTGTAGGTAGTATTGTTTGGTGCAGAACTTGTTACAATGCCGAAGTCGAAGGCGAAGTACTGGCCTTTGAACCGCAAAACAAAATACTTATTTTGAGTATCCTTTTTTTATTGTTATTTATGGGTTAATTTCATAGTTTGGCGGCCCTTTGCATAACAAATATAGAGACTAGTTGATGAGTATTTGAACTATTATGTATATTTCTTAGGATAGCATTACAAAGTGATTTAGTACCTAATGAATTTAGCAACAAAACTATGAAATGTTTCCTTTAATTTCATTGTATCTAAACTTAACATAAACATTCCTGAACCTGAAATATTTCTGGCTAAAGTAAATATCATTCTCTTTTCTGTGTGCTGCATGTAACCACAAACGCATGCAGATTGGTTGAAAGTTTGCCTAGTTATAATTTGAAAAATAAAATTCAACACAAGCTCAAAAAGAAACGGATTTTGATACATTGATCTGTGTCAAAGGTCAAGAAGAGAATTCTAACATCTTCAGGTTTATATACCTAATTCAAGGTATCACTAGTTCATTCATTTTTATATGCTTAAACTACTAAATAATGTGAAAAGTATAAATCCTCTTCTTCTCCTGGACATAAATCAATAGATAATTATCCTTTCTTCTCAGCTGAATATTGTTAAGTTGAATTAGAAATTTGGTGGGAAAAATGTTTCCAGCATTTCTGCATCGTTATTTATTTTTCACAATCTTTGAACAAACATTTCCTTAACATTACTCTCAGAATGTTCCTCTACAAATGGAGATCCCAAATTGAACGATGTTCAATTCATGAATTTGTCACTGGTTAGCGAATTACAAGTCAAGAAAGAGGGCAATGTTTATTACGAACTACCACAGAACATAAACCTACAAAGGGTAAGATCAGACACAACTAGAAACATTTATATTGAAATATTCATCTTTTTTAGCTTAACACAAGAGTTAGAAATCAAGTAGAAGAAAAGAGGCGGATGTTGCAGGCGATTTCCGCCAATGTGTCCTCCGAAGGACAAACTCTATTTATAACTCTTTCTAAAATGTTAAACGTCAATGTCAGGTGGAGGAATTCTGATATTATTGTTTGGAACCAAGAGGTCATCATCAGTCCTCCTTATCAGCTGGAAAACGTCAGAGGCAATGCAAATAGTAATGGATACAAATACATTCTAAGAGTGGTAAGTCCATTTATTTATTGTATAATATCTATTTTCAGTTAATTGTCAAAAAATTACAGTACTTGATATTATCTTTTTTATTTTTCAGGTAGAAAAACATCTGCAAGATCTTTCACTTAATCCTCAAACTACTACAGTGGTTCAACCAAACAATAGGTCCTCACAGTAGAACTTGAAAACATCTTGGCCATTGACAAATTCTTTTAAATCCTACTAGTTGAAATATGTAAATTGCTGAATCTCGGGTGCATTTATCTGTATCGGTGTCATTCCATACTAAACGATCTATCAGGAGATCTTTGCTAATCAAATTCTAGTCATCAGAGGCAAAAAAACAAGTCCAAATTAATAATTCGGATTTATTTTTTTTAACTCTGGATCAAGGGTTAGATTTTGGCTGTGCATAGTTCTCAAGGATAATCTCCAGTATTACATGAATTAAATTGCACCTTTGTTCATAAAATGGTATATTTCAGCTTTACGGATAGAATCTTTGTTTGTTAACAACAGAAAGTGGAGTTTGAAACTTTGCTTCTTAGAAGGTATATTGAAATTACCTTGTTTACTAGGTTTTTTATTTATAGTTTTCTATGTCAAAATAATCCACAAAGCTGTTGTTTAGCATTGTTTTCTTATTCCTTATAGGCGATTTTGAACTAAATTGAGTGAAATCGAAAAGTAACACTTCAAATACCTGAAGGAGTGGTGATATGTAAATCAGTTTAATCCATGATTGCCAATTTTTTGTTTATTAAATTAAGTTCTATTATTTTATACAAAATAAACTGAAATATTCCTCTAAGGATTCTCTTTTTTTTCACCACAACAAAACAGTCAAGCAAGAATGTTTTAGCATTTTTTTTTTTTTTATTGATCGACTGATAATGACCAATAATGGTGACACAAATCTAATATGTTACTCTTGAACTTAAAAATATCTAAATATCATGCTAAAGTGCTGATCGGTTATTTCAGACGCAACCAATCAAAAAATCATAAAGCTAACAGAAAAAGTTGAATCACTTGAATATGAAATTCAACAACTTAAAAATAAAATAAAAATGTTCCTGACACTGAACTAAAGGACAAATCTCCTATAGCCTTGGCGTTTGAAGGGACAAAAAATTGAAGACCTAATGTCTGCCCAGCGACTCTGTGTCTACGGGGCAACGGTAAGGGGAATGCAGTTGTAAAAAAAAATAGCTGGATTTCATTCATAAAATACCCAGCTGCGTGCGGAACTTTTTGGAAGTGTTATCGTATTGCAACTCGTACATGAAAATCGGCAATGACCAAATCTCCGCCACTGGATATCTCAATATAAATCGATATTAGGCAATTCAATCCATCTGTCAGATAGGAAAATTCAATATGGCGTGGCCGTCAAGCAAGTTTGTTTTGAATGTGTTTTTATGCGTATTTCTAGTTATTTTGCTTAGAGTTTTGCTTGCAACTTTGATTTGGATTATTTAATAAAATATTTGTTGACTAGGTACCTGAACTAATAAATCCGGCCGAATTTAGATATTTTTGTGTGTTTTTTGGCCCATGTGTGGCCGCCACGCCATCTTGAAAGTCACGTGGTTTGAATTGCCTGATTCCAAGATGGGAGGATGAAATGACATGAGCCCTGGCACAGCCCCCTACATTTAACAAGCCATGAAGTTAAAAAGGCAACACCGCAATCTTACTGCCAAGTGGTGTTTGTTTGTATAAATATATATTTTTTATTTTATTAATATGAATCACATAAAATACATAATTTATTGTACTAAAGGGCCAAAAAAAGTAATTCAATGAATAATTTAACTATTTGTGTAAATAAGAACAGTAAATAATTGATTTAAATGAATATATTTCTAGAGTCTAAAGTGTTAGAGGCCTATGTTTCAGTATGTCTTTTGAAAATCTAACTTTTTCTTTCTTCAGGATTTTTTCGGAAGGCAAGTCCATTCAAATACTTGAGCTGATTTTCGAAAATAAGAGGTACCTACTTTTAAGAGTTGGACATACGCCTTTATCCTTGTTTGTTTCAAATCTAATTATTTCGGTTTCTTCAAAATGTTTACAACACACTACAGAATTTTTCGTTATTGTATAATCTCGGGTATAATTATCTTGGTGTATTGCTTTCATCCACATTTTTTGCACTTCAGAATTTTTTTGGAAATAAAAATGTTTGCATTTCTTCAGTTTTTAAGGAACTCCTAATAGTTCGATTTGCACCCAGGAACACAGTAGTTTCATGGCATCTGGAACAAGTTTAAATATCTTAGGTAATATATCGAGACCTATGCTCTTGCAGACAAATATTAATATTGTTTTTATTGTTTTACCTTACCTTACCTTCATTTTTGCTCCTGTAGCCATTTGCTAAAAATTTGCAATCAAAGCACAAAGGAACAGGTATCAACTAAATATGGGCAATATATTGGTGAGTTTCTATCCACTTTTTCGTCAATAATGCCCATAAAAATACTAAATTGCAACAATACACAATGAAAGCAATACACAGAAACACATAACCCAATAACAAAATAGCACCATACGCGACGTTGCCGTCATTTCCAATTTCATGGCTTGTTAACTATAGGAGGCTGTGGCCCTGGCCAATAGCGAGACGTAAGGTGACGTTAGCTCATTGACAACCGTATGGTTCCCCATGGCAACGGCGATCCTGCCAAAAACTCCACCAATCAGGTTCATCCAGGCCGGATGCTTGCCAAATTGTCAAAAGCTGATGATATCTTTAGAAAAAAACAACAACCACGTTAAAATATTTAGCGTTTTATTATTTGTATCGATATTTTGTTATTAAAAAATGGATTTTCAAATTAACTATACGTCATGTCTGGTATTTTCGCTTTTTTATAATTAAACGTGGCAACATGGCACATTTACGTCCGAATTCCTTCCGTAGACTCAGATCCGCTGGGCAAACAATAGGTGGAAGTATTAGTATAAAAAAAATAACATCTTGACCCAAGAACTGAAAACCCAGTCTGAAGGGTTGCTAAAAGTATAAGCTCCGATAAGGATTTGGTGAGATTTCCCACCACAGAAAGCAACCCTACTCTAAACGACCCTACGAACTCAAATAAAAGGGAATTACAAAGCAATAACACAAATGACATCATGAAAGGCACTTTTCCCAAAAGAAGCCCTCCTACTTACAAGAACCCTATAACTAGTGAAGATGTATCCAATGCAGTTATATTAGCTGAAAGTTCGGCCATTGAAAATATTGCTGTGGCAGCAGACAAGGACAAAACTACTTGAGAAATCACCAGAATTTTCCTAAAGGCAGCAGGTTACCATACAGAAGAAGGTATTACCAGAATGTTAGAGGTAGGGTTTCCATACGTCCGGATTTACCCGGACATGTTTGGGTTTTTAGGGTGTCCGGGGAAGTCCGGCCGGAATTCGGAACAATGTCCGGAAAACTCGGAGATCGTGAAAACAACCTAACTTTGTAAAATATTTCAATCGTTATGGTATTATTTATTAATTCCTGTAAAAATGTATTTTCACAAAAAATAAACAAAATTCATCCTTCATGAAAAAATTAAATTATTTTTTTTCTTATACTACTGTGCGTAAAGTACTCACTTTACGCCCTTTTCAAAAGACGTAAAATTTCACTTCACGCACAAGTGCGTAAGGTAATTCACTTTACACACTAGTGCGTGAAATAGGTAATGTCAATGACAGATGTCGATACTGTCATTTTTTTCTAGTAAATTACTCACTAGTGCATAAAGTATTCGTCTAAATTTATTTTTTTACACATATTTATAAAAAAAATTATATGTACCTAATACGTGTGTAGAGTGAACCTTTTTGCACTCATGTGATTGTCGCTCGAGCCGAAGGCGAGTGCGTCAGAATTCACATTCGTGAAAAAAGGTTCACTTTACACACTTGGTGCATTAATAGCTATTTTGGCGAAGTCCGGATTTCTTGACTTCTTGGTCCTGAATTCCGAAAATCCTTTATGGAAACCCTAGTTAGAGGACTTAGAACCAAATTAGCAGAATTTTCCTCCAATATGTACATCAGTTACTACAATGTTATAGCACTTACAGAGACCGCCTGGCTTAAGTAGCGTTTTCCTAGCAACGCACATTTTACGCGGCGTAGAACGTAATACGGCCGACGCAACGCAACATCCAATGCGCTGCGTAAAAGTGTTTTCCTAGGATTGTCAGTTGCGTCCCGATCGTCGCGATGAGTATATCAATAAAGAAATTAGCTTTGGCTTTATTATTATTACAAGATGAAATTTTGCAAGAAGAGATTGTTATAATAGCCACGATTCATGATAGGAGGACTCGAAATTCTGCTAGTCAATTATTATTTCAAAAAAAGAGAACGCAAAAAGAGCATTTTCTTATATCCGCATAAACATCTACTTGTCGACGAAGTGAAATTTAAATCATATTTTAGAGTTACAAGCCAGCAATTCTCATTCCTCCTTGATCGTTTGGGAAAAGATTAGAGCAAGGAACCATGTAATTGTGTGCGACATCCTATTTCGCCACCTGAAAAACAAGGCCTAACATTGAGGTATATAAAAATAATATTTTTTTCTGCGATTCACAAGAAATGTCAGCATTTTTGACCGGTTGACAGGTCGCAAAACTCAAGATTCTGGTATTTTAATTATGCTTCAATAGTTGCTAGGGAATCAACGAATAACAATACGGGAATCACCTTTCCGGCCTAGGCCGGGAAAGTGATTCTCGTACTGCTGAATAATTGGAACAAAAAGGCAACCATTTACCAGATATTTAACCGATCGCAAAAAAAATAGTATGTGTATTTCGGTGAAAAAGCACATTCTCAGCCTTCGGTGTTTGCCGGCCTCGGCTACGCCTCGCCCATCAACTTACACCGTCGGCCGAGAATGTGTCACTTTTCCACCTAAATAAACAATATACTATTTTTTTTCCAAACACGCAGCGTACAACTGGATAGACTGCTCTCCGAGCAGTCGTCCAGTTGCTTCGACCGTATTACGCTAGCGCAAGTCGTTTTTACGCAGTGTAGGAAAACACCTCCATTTGATTTTCATTAGACATGTCCTCAGCGTTTTATGCCGACCGAATTACGTTCTACGCCGCGTAAAATGTGCGTTGCTAGGAAAACGCTGCTTTAATGATGATCATCAAAGTGCAGAACTTGGGCTACAAAATTTTACTATTTTCAGGAATGATAGAGACCTGGATGCAACAGGCAAAACAAGAGGTGAAGGTACTAATCGCTATTAGAAAGGAATTTAAGTCATGTATACTGGATAGCCCCAGGAATTGTACCGGGCGATTGTCTAAATTTTGCACCCACACCTATCTCACCACTTGCGTCTATATCTCAACGTGGCTCCTTCAGTATGCGCGTGCGCCTACTTTGCACAAAAGATTTTTAGGTTGGATTTTATTGTTTTGTTTTGATTTTGTACGTTGTTGCCTGCCTAGGTTCCCTGATTTTGTTTCTACTGACCCTGAAATTTCTATTTACCCTGTTTAGGGTAATTTTTTAGTTAGCAAAAAATTAGCACAAGAAACCCAATCTCGCCCTTAACTATTTATATCTGTAATAAGTAAAACACAAAGGTAGGTATGTATTTGGTTAAAAAATTTATTTTGACACAGAAAAATCAAATCGCACCTAAAATAAAAAAGAGAGTATCTACCTATAATACAGGTGATCTGTGCTAATATTACAAGATGAGATTATAATAATGCATCGTTTTACTCTTTGTAATTTTTGCCTTTTTTAATGGCGCGAAATATCTTCTCTGGT